AACCCCTGCTTAATCTTTTGTCGCATGATTCTGGCATTAACGTTTTCTTCATTCGAATTGCTGCTCCCTTAGAATAGAAGAAGTGATGTCTTTTAGAATGAAAGCATGTATATGAGGAATGCATGTTTTCAGCTTTCATGCTGATCATAATGGATGAAGGATCTTTGAAATATTATGACTAAACATGCAGAATTTTCTCAGAGAAGCACATATTTATTTCATTAAACATATTTCATTACTACTACACGAATGGTGTGGGATAATCCTCCACACATGATAATTTAAGTAAATTCTTTAATACTTTTTATTAAATATCATTGTCAATTTGTAATCAGGTTTATAACTGCGAGAAAAATTTCAGCCTCAGAAAGCATAGATTTTTATGGTTTTATAGATTCATGTTATGGTTCCATTTTTATGTATTATTTTTTCCTTCTAATCTATACTTCTTTTTGACTATCGTACAAGAATGTATCATTAAAATTTTTTAAACACTTTCAGCACGAATTGTGATTTCTTATGTCAGTTGCTGGAACCAGTTATTCGAACAATGATGTGAATGCAGTTTTTCTATGATGTTAAATAACGGTTAGGAATTTTGGCTTTACCCAGTATTTTTAGTACGAGTTTCTTCGCACATAGTCTGCTTGCACGGCGTTAGTTAAATGGATCAAAGTTATACATATATATATCATTTTCGATGCGCAGTTAGGTAGTTGGATGTTCAGCAGCTTTCGATAGTCGAGTGGAAAGACGGGAACATGACGCTGACCCAAATGAATTTGAAGAATTCCCTATCTTTATTGCAACGCATATAAAACCATCTTAGTAAACATTTATCCAATCATAATGAAATACGTTGATATTTTGTTTTAAAGGTATGATGTAGGTATTTTAGCAGGACAGAGCAGCGCGGGGTTGTAGAGCAGAATTTAGGAAAAGGAAGATGACGTAGTTACTTAGGAGCTGTATTTATACCTAGCAGATGCCGAAAATACTCTAAGCTGTGATTGGTTAATTTTAGGTTGTTATGTAACATGGAAAGATCTCGAATTTGGGAGAACAGATTGTGGTGAAAAACATAAAAATAGGCAAAGCCAAACTAATTACCCAAAACAAAGTTAAATCAAATAGGAAAATACTAAAGCAAGAATAAATGAATCAATTTGCTGTTGACACTTGAAAAATAATAAATCAAATAAAAAAGATAAACTATACTTGAGCTGGAAGACATATGGGAGATGTTTCCAACAGTGTTTCGTGCTAAAGTTCTCAAGATAAATCATATTTTTAGTTAGTTTGCTTGTTTTAATGGAGTATTTCTTGTTGACAGATCTCAAAGCTGTAAAGTAAATTTTTCTGAGGATTATGCCAAGCGACAATTGAGAAAGATTGCTTCGAAAAATTTAAACAGAAGTTTACAGAATGAAATTTTATTAAGTACTTTGTGTGTAAGCAGGAGCGATGAAAGAAAAGAGAAAAAAAAATCTTATTTTTAAGTTAGAAATAAGCATAAATGGCAGCTAGGCTCTTTAAAATTTTAATCATATAATTGGTGTTTTCAGCTTATTTCCTGGAATAACTAACTGATAAATTCCGTAATGAATCAAAAGTCTGTTACTGAAAGGAAAATTTTTTTCAAACTGTACTTTCAAGTATGCTTAAAAATATGCAAAATTAAGAGAATTTGCACGTTATATCGAATTTCTCAAAAACTAATGATAGATTTTAATTATATTTATTATGAATATGCATTTATAATAGAGCGAGAGATGTACCATTCAAAAATCATTTTATGTGCGCATGATTTTCAGTAAAGTTAATAGTGCAGGGATGTCCAAAATCCACACTGTGACATCGAACTAAAAATGAGTCTAATACGGGGTATGGTTCTCTCTCATAGCTAGGTAGGTTGTGCAGTGTCATGGCATATTGGACAGGAGGCAGCTGAGGAGCCCATGTGGCAACCGATCCCACTTCTGCAGTAAGGCAGTTTTCAACTCCGAAAGGGTTCTCACATGGGAATGGTTAGATGAAACTGCTCTTGGAAAGCGACCCAAACATGATCTATACGGTTAAGATTAGGAGATCTGGCTGGCCAATCCATGAGGCGAATATCCTCACTTCCCAGGTAATCATTGACCATCTGAGCCCTATGTGAACGAGAGTTGTCGTCCATTTACAGGGACGTAGGGCCAACTTCGCTCCGGAAAAATCGAACATAGGGCTGTAAGATTTTCTGTCTTACCTTTTAATAATAGGGCCTTTTTGAAACACATGCAGGGTTGTAGGGCCGTCTATCATAATGCTTGTCCAAACCATTACACCTTCACCACATAATGATCCTTTTCCCTGATGAGGAAAGAAGGGATGGTATTCATGTTTCAGGCTCTTTCCAGGTACAGGTACGCCGAGGATCAGTGTCCAAGTTAAATCTTAACTCATCTGTAAAAAGCACTGTGCTCCACTGAAGTCTTGTCCAAGGCTCATGTTGTGTGCACTCTGCTAAACGTGCTCTCTGGTATGCTGCAGTGAACGAACGCACACAGCGGGTCTTCTGGCACATAGCTCTATCTCATAAAACCTTCGGTCAACTGTAGACCGTGAAACTCGGGATCCACTGCAGCATACAGCTCAGCTGAGAGCTGTGAAGCTGTAGCAGTCCTGTGTCAGAGTGCTGAAATTGCCAAATGACGATTCTCATTCGTCGTTGAGAATCTTGGTCGAACTTGTCCAGGACTTTTCGATATGGATCCAGTGTCCTGAACTGTTTGCACAAATTGCTGGGCGCAGACATTACACACTGGGTATTAACACTGAGCTCTGTATGCACCTGCGTGGCCTTTCTCCAATCTGCTGACAATTCTCCATCCCATTCCGTCATCCATGCTTTCATGGCTACTCATTTTACCTGATAAGTTGTAAAATTTATGTAACTCTTGCAAGAAACACGGCGAGTGTCTTGAAGAAGTATCTGCACATACGAGGGCAATCCCCAAAAAAAGGTCTCCGATATTTTTAGATATACAAAGAACCGTTTATTTTCTATAATTGCTACATCACTTTAAAGATTGAAGAATGCTTTATTTTTCAACATAATCGCCATTTCGGGCGATACATTTTTGTAGATGCTATGGCAGTTTTACAAAGCCCATGCATACCAGCTTGCCGCCATGCCCTTCAGGAAGCGTTGAACCTCATCTTTCACCTCATCATCATCCGAACAGAACCATAGCGGCGAAGAAATTCGCGGGAAGAATCAACCCGTTGCCGTTTGTGGTCTTCTGTCAGCATACGCGGCACCCATCTTGCACACACCTTCCGATTTTGCAACTTTTCCGTTAAAATCCTGTGGATGGTGCTTCTGGAAACCTCAGGAACCAAAATGCAGAGAGCATCCAGTGTGATCCTCCGACCTTTACGCATGAGTTCCTCAACTTTCGCGATTGTCTCGTCGGCAATTAACGGCCTCCCGCTCCTTTCTTCGTTATGAATTTCAGTACGACCGGCTGTAATCTCTGTACACAACTTGCGAACGTTTTTGACATCCATACGACCGTCCACACACTTCCGTCAATAAATAACTGCGCGCACTTCGCACTTGGCGGTAACGTTTATCGGAAGCTCCAATTCGAATGGCTGGCTGCCAAGCCAAGACTGAGCATCCGAGCGAAGCGCCTGCGTGCTTATGTGGTAGCGGAGAAGGCACCACTCACAACAGTGTTGCCAACAACCGTATTAAAACTTTCTCTACGTCCCCAAAAAATAGGAGACCTTTTTTGGGGAATTGCCCTCGTATATCGCCGGAACCCCCTTCTCCTCCACAATCACTGCACCGCAGACACACACACACACATGTGCGTTTACATATTCGGATCTGAATATTTTGCATATTTCTGCGGCGGTTTAATTAGCATCGTCGGTTCAATAATTTTCGTAAAAATAGATGTAATTTGCAAATTCTCATAATTTTGCACTGGAGTGTAGAAACTGAATTGAATGACTTGATGAAATCTTAAAATTATTTTAAAGATTCATCTCAACATATTTTCTGATGTATGTTGAAAAAACAAAGAAAAATATGGGCACTTTTCTTAAAACTTTTCAGAAAATTGAGAAGATTAGAATGTTTTGCTTTGTGATTTGCTCTTGTACGAGTATTTGTTTTTCAATATAGATAGATCATGAAATAATGGAAAAATAAAGTATTATTGTTATTAGACAAAATAAATCTGTTTTTATTATCCTGTTTCCTGCGTAAGGTGTTCTCTGCATATTAACCGGATAACTGGAAAAATGTAATTTAGTAATAAACCAAACTAAAAAGTTAAGTAATAAGCGGAAGACAGTAGTTATCATTTGCAATCTTGTACATCATAGTGGAGAGGTGTTTTTTTGCGGTCTCCTCTGCTCGAATTTATTTTTCTCGTAGAAATTATACCGCCTTTTTTTCCCCCAAGTCTTAGGTGAGTTTTTTTTTTTTTTTTTTTTTTTTTTTTTAAAAGGGCATACAACCTCTTCATTCACTGAAAAGTTGTTTGTTCGGGAAGAAGCTGGCGGCAAGCCAAAGTTGTAAGCACGCGAACTACTGAACATTAAATTACGTAATTTCTTTTCAAACAACAAACATGAGAGCATGGTATTATAAATTTTTGAGGTAATGGAAGGGTGTTATTTTTGTTTATTTTACAGTTATTCTGCTAAATATGGACTTAGTGTAGTTGATACATTTATTCATATTGTCGGAAGCTATTATCACTTGTAACAGGATGTGCTGCCATCTGTTATTGGAAATCAGCATCATTATCGAGTGAGATTTTTTTACTGTTCATTCACTTCTTGAATGAGTCTCGCAATTTAGCAGTACATATGGTATGGTGTTAATTTTTACACCATGTTTCCATACTGTAACGTTCGTATCATTGAGAAAATTTGAAGTTTTATAAAAATTGAAGTCTTTGTATGCGGAATGTTTTTAAATTTCTTTTATTTCATGTTTATAATGTGGATGTTGAATAGAAAATTTTAATTTTGTGCAATATGAACTTTATTGCGATTCATGATTTTGTTACATAATTTACCCAGCAATTTTATCTTTAGAATTAAGTGATCTGAATAGTTTAAGAAGTTTCTTCATAAAATATCTGCTTGTACATCTTGTAATTCTAAATGAAATTGTGATGTTTTATGATACCAGAGCTGTGTAAGTGTATTTAGAATGAAATATATATTAAAAAAAGGTGAATTTTATTGAAAACATCTGAAATAAATGATACATTTTAAAAGAAAAGTGAAAATAGACAATATATACTTCCGTTATTTCTAACTCCAAAATTATTTTATGAGGTACTTTGAATTTTAAAATATGTATGAGTTTTGAATGAATTGATACATTTGAAATTACAGATTCTTTAGCCGAAAATATCCGAAATTTAGAAAATTCGTTCTAAAATTATAATTAGACAGTATATTTTTTACTGAAATGCCTTAAATAGAGAGTAAGAACTTGGGGGGGGGGGAAGAAATTTGTTGTTATTGAACTGTATGCATATTGATAGGATCTAATTGCATATAAAAGAATTTTTTAACTATAGAATGTGTGTCACTATGTGCACTTCTATATTCTGTTCCTGAATTCTTTTGCTATCAAGGATAATGATTTTATACATTCCTCTTTTCCAAACAGTACAATATATACATTATTTTATATATTTATAATATAATTGTTCTTTTATATTAATATATCATTTCTCTTACATTAACTGTTCTTAATTATTGTAGAAATGCATGCTGCAGTGGAGGAAGTGGATTTAGATCCGTGTGATTTGTATACTGATTTGGGAACCCTGATCATTGAAGGCAGAGTGCCTGGACTAACAGACAAGGGTTTTGGAGAAGGTCCACATTGTCCAAGTACTCATGGTCAGAACAGGGGGGGGGGGGGGGGGGGGGGGGGGGGGGGGGGGGGGGGGGGGGGGGGGGGGGGGGGGGGGGGGGGGGGAGGGGGGGGGGGGGGGGGTGGGGGGGGGGGGGGGGGGGGGGGGGGGGGGGGGGGGGGGGGGGGGGGGGGGGAGGGGGGGGGGGGGGGGGGGGGGGGGGGTGGGGGGTGGGGGGGGGGGGGGGGGGGGGGAGAGGGGGGGGGGGGGGGGGGGGGGGGGGGAGGGGGGGGGGAGGGGGGGGGGGGGGGGGGGGGGGGGGCACCAGTGTGATCCATCTTCCACTGAAGTAACTAACTCTTTGATTATAGTTGTTTGTTATAATGTTTTTAAGGGGTATTTCTTTTGTAATATATATTTGATTATTAATTGATAAAATGAGTTAATAGTGTGTAATCAGTTGTTAGCTATTTAATCTAAGGATTAGTAAATGAAGCTGTAACCAATATACACTGATGGAAAAAAAATATCCCAATGCCGAGAAAAAAATATTGTAGAATAATGAAATTTCAGCAATACAATTGTTTCGGTAATGCAAGTGTGAGAAGAGCTATTTCAAATATGAAATGCTGGTACTTTAATAACTGGTGTAACCACCATAATTTTGAATGCAAGCATGCATGCATTGTGTCGTACAGGTGCCGGATGTCAGTTTGTGGGATGGAGTTCTTTGCTTTTTGCACTTGATCGATCAATACAGGGCAATTCATGCTGCTTGTGTATGACACCGGAGTTGTCATTCAATAATGTACCATACGTCCTCGACTGGAGAAATATCTGGTGATCTAGCAGACCAAAGCAAATGTCTAGACTCTGTAGAGCATGACAGTGGTATGAGGGCAAGCATTATCCTGTTGGAAAACAACCCCTTAAATGCTGTTTGTGAATGGCAGAAGAACGGGTTGAATTACCAGATTGACTTACAAATTTGCTGTTAGTGCATGTTTGGATAACCATGAGAGTGCTCCAGTCATACAAAATTGCTCCCTAGACCGCAACTCCAGATGTAGGTCCAGTGTGTCTTAGGCCTTAAATAGGTTGGTTGTAGCTGCTCAGCTGGCCTCTTTCTAACCAACATTTGGTAATCATTTGCACCAAGGCAGAACCAGCTTTCATCAGAAAACACAAGAGATCTCCACTCCATCCACCAACTGCAGCTCAAATTTATGCTGCATGCATTTAAGGTGCATGCAATGCATCAGAGCCATACTCTGACCATAACAGTCTTCCCTCTCAGTAGTGCTACTTGGCCGCCCAAAATCCAGTCTTCTTGAGCCAGTACTTTACTTTGACCACTGCAGCCAACAATCACGCACACAGTGGATACATTTTTGCCGAGTATTTGCAATATCGTGGAAAGAAATCCACCTTCTTGTAGCCCTATTACATGACCTTTTTCAAACTCACTGAGCTCTTGGTAATGGCTTTTTCCTCTACTTAAAGATATTCTTGATTAACATCAACTCACTATGTCAAATCTCAACAATAAATAATGCTCACGAACTTGATAGCACATATCTGATTTGCATGCTCATAACTGAAATTTAAATAGACGTCATCTTTCAGATGTATAAACACGCCTACCAAATTTTGTTTATCTAGCACAACTTCTTCTTGATGTTAGAACTTTTTTTTCCTGTTGGTGTATATTATCTAGTGAAATCTATTTTTGGCAGGTGCTAACAAACATAAACAACAAGCCGAGGCCTGGATATTTGTGGTAGTGAATGCCAAACAAATAAAATTTAAAAATAATTATATAGCTATTTAGGGGGGAAAATTCATTTTTCCCCCTCGTAAAATGCTAAATGAATTTTTATATAACATGTGTTATACAGTGTATTTCGTTTTCATTATAATTCTTACAATTGTAAATATACATATTCAAATTCTCCTGATTTTCTGACAAGAAATCTCAGTTTTAAACAGCTATCTCATAAGCAGATCTTGAGTTTCTGTTCTCATAAGCAGATCCTGCGCTTGTGTATTAGAAAGCTCAAGATATATTTTGTCATTGCTGTTTAAAATCTTCCAAGATTATTTTTAACTAACATATCCAATTACTTAATAATTTAGTTTGCATTTAATAAATTTATTTTCTAGCAATTTGTAATTCTTTTGATTGATGCTAAATGCTGTAATAAATGTTAAATATAGTCATAAATAAAGGCTTTGTTCTTTCGTATAGTGCCAGAAATATGAACAAATTCTGAAGCATATGCTTTTGCTGTGGAAAAATGGAATACCCATGACTATAGAAGTTCTGCTATACCCCAGTTGCTGCGCACCTGCACAGAATGTGGATTCGGTACCTGAAACATCATACATTCTATTAGAACAATGGACCATTCACATGCTGCCCAGAAGGTTGCTGTTTAAATTTTAATTGCTTTCTTAAAATAATAAAATATGAAATATTTCCTTGTCTCTTGATAATTGTTCATCTATTTTTTTATGAAATTTAATACAAAATTAATTTTTGAATTCATAAATTTGATTTACATTTAAGGGTATGTTATTATTTACACTTCGTGGTTTTCGATTGTTACAGATACGGAGTATAACGAAGGAACTGAAACTCGTATTGCCACTTTTCCCCCAAATGGTCCACTTCTTGTTGCATTATTTATAGAGAGCCTGTTCACTTTACTGTAGTATTTTATACAGGCAGTAATAGCAGAAATACCATTTTAATATCGATTTTCATTATAAATAATGTATCAAATGGAAGTTGGTTCATATCTGAATGCAACAGTGGACATAGAGATTTAAGACACAAGAATAAAAAACTTAGGAATAAATAATTCAATCCTATTTAGAACAAAGATAAGTAACGTTTATATTATGCTTGATCACAATTAACCAAATTTGTATAACTTGTCAGAATGTCTGGATTATTAGTAAATAAAAGAAGATATTTACTGTATGCTTATAAAAAGTAGTAGATTGGAAATTAATTAAATATTGCTTATAAGTTATGTGAATTTAATATGCATCTGCATTTCATGCATGAAAGCAGCCAGTTATTAGATCCTTGTATGTAAAATATCCTTATATGTATCATTTGATGCAAAATATTTGTGCATAAAGTTAGGTAGCTCTTATAAGCTTTCATAGACAGCAAGAATGATTCGTAAAATGCATGCTGCCATGATATTCCAAGCACATGGTCTATTATTGATATTTCGACACATACGTCTTTACTAATGTTATTAAATTCTTGCTGATTTGGGACATGATGAATGATTAATTTCATTAATGTTTCCTATTAAATCTTCTAATTGTAATGCTGGTTAAAAACATTGAGCTGTGGAGTGCCAAATTAAATGTTTTAAAAAAAAGTTTAGAGGTTTGATTCCAGTTTTTGATTTTCCTCCCAACATTACACTTCAGGACAAAATAATTTTCAGGAGATCCATGCGAGTTTGAACTATTAATCATACAGGCATCTATATATTCAGCAGAAGCCCTTAGCTACAAGCAAAAAGAATAAGATGTTTGGCTTATTTAAACATGGAAAAGCATTATCAGGCTGTCTGCCAAAGAGGAAAGATACATTCGTAGAGGACTTTGAAAAGGTAACTGGTATATACATTACACATGGGGAAAACCACGAAAATGACCATGCAGCCAGCCTGTTCGCTGGGCTTTTACAGCTCGGCCACTAGTGGGCCAAAATCAGGGGTTTGCAAATTGAGCACAAATTTAACAAAAGGGTTACTCCAGCTTCCTTTAGCTCAACACTGTGTGTAACAGTATAAAACAATACTGTTAGCATTGTTTCAGGATTAATTATGTAATTATTGTTATATTTTTACTGAGTTTCTGCAAAAAAATAACAATTGTCGTACTTAATTGAGCTTGTTTATTTCATTGCAAGTCTTGAATGGTTGAAAAAGACATAGTAAACTGAAAATGAAAAAGTACTCAGTTACTGCTTGAAAAAACAGACTTAGTTTTTTATATAGGTAGTGAAAATAAAAAATAGATCTTTTCCAGTAAAAGATAACACATACAAAACAATTTTTCCAAAATATGTATGACTCAATTTGAAATTTGGCAGCAAGAAAATATCAGCTCATTAAAACTGCCGTAAAATTTTTTCTAAGCGTAAGAAATGCTTCTTTTAGATTACTGAATGAAGTAGAAAAATTTACTTTGAAAATTTATTCACTACACTTCATTTTTTTTGGGAGGGGATGGAGAATATATACTTTAATCATCTGCCTACATATATTTTGACTGAAAAGAGTTTGGCATATGCTCTTTTAAAAGACAAAATATCTACAGTATTTTTTTAATTAAAATGTTACATTTATTCTTTAAAAGTTAGTTCAAAACACAAGTAGGACAATAATTAATGATATATTGAATTAGTTCGAATATATTTTTTTAACTGTCTCTGTTCTTTACATTTAATTATGAACAATATAAAGAAAATTCAAAGTAACCAAGTGTTGAGAATACTTAATTTAAATCGGGATATTGGTTAAGAATCTTGTTATACCAATTTGAATCATATTCGGTCTTTCTACAATAACAACAATGTGGAGATTTTTAACGGAAGACAATAAAAATATCAAAATCAAAATTTACATTTGATTCAAAAATAAGAATAACTCCATTACGACAGAAAAAAAAATTTTTTTTGCAGAAGCACAGAATTCTATAATGTTCAACATAATAATGTTCAAATAATTCAACATAAGTTTTGCCACAATTTATGTTGAACTGTGTTAAGATATAAGCATTTTAGAAAATGTGAGACACGGGAAGAACCTAATTAAATTTAACATATATGCATTAAGTACTATTAAGAGTAATATGATTATTTTTCTAGGGAGGAGATTTGAAAAGATCTTCAAATTAATCGTTTATAAAATGTATTACAATCAATTAACCATGAAAGCTGTAAATTATATTTTATAATTTGAAGAATAAATTATAATCATTAGTGAACAGAATCCAAACTTAGTTAATACAATAATATCCCAAACTAAAAAAATTATAAACATAATCTATTGCATAAAAACATAAACATTATCTCTTCAATTACAAAGCTTAGCTTCCTTGCAAGGCATACATTTCCTCTTCAGTTACGAAGCTTAGCTTACTTGCAAGGCATATAAATGTTTATGCAGTAAACATTTATATGCCATTATGTTATCCGGACTCGTCGGGACTTTGGCGATTCCGGATTAGGTTTTTTTTCCGGATTATAGATCATCAATTTAAATCTGGTAAGATGACATCCAGAAATTATACAATTAAAAATATGAAACTGTAATTTATGAAATAAAGAGCAATTATGATCTAAAGGGTATCAGAATTTACACAAAAAAAAAAGCTTAATATTTATTTTTTTACTTTATTAAACATTTCTTTCAATGCACGCATGCATAAAGCATACATTACGCATAGTCGAAATTAGAAAACTGCAACCAGAAAACTATTTGATGTGTATTCGTGATATTTATAATGACCAGGAAATTGATTTAAATCATATCGAAGTACATCAAGATGAAACACTACATTTAGTTAGAAATTATAAGCTGAATAAAATAGAAACATCTGCCCAGAAGATGAGGATAGTGCTGACAGATCAACTTCCAGTTCATTGCCCCTCTTCTCACAGAGCAACGGGAAATTGATACAGATTTCGGAATGGTTAGAGAAACAAATCACCTCTCTGTCACTTTCTTCATGCCTTTATCCATTTTTTGATGCAAATCCACTTTTTGTTTAGTGGACATTGAAACATGCTTTCGCTTTGTAGATCCTTTGGCAGCTCCAGAATTGGAAACTCTTTTTGACATAATCGAAAGTTCAAGGTTACTTTTTATAAAATTGCTCTAACAGTCTGCAAAAAATAATAAGCCGGATCCAGTTAGAAGATTAATGAACAACACAATCTGCAACATTAACTGAAATTGATAATTTTAGCCTAGCTTATACCGTCCGTTATACATTAAACACGCATGCGCAGAAAGTTTGTAGCTTTGAGGTCCGGATTATGGATCATTCCAGATTAAAGACTTTATGCTGTATTAGGAATAGCCAATAGACAACCGCAGCACCATCTAGTGATCATAGTATTTTTGGACCCATTTTTGTACCATGCAGTTTTACCTCCTTCTTGTATATTTCGTAGCTGCAAATAAAGATCAGAAATTGAAATTTGTTGCCAATCAAAAAGGCCGAGAATCTTTCATTATGCATCAAAAACAAAGTTTAATGATGGTGATGAATTTTGTAATAAAAGTGTTCCATTTAATTTATTTCAAGCATTAATCTTTTTTTTTGAGTCAAATTAAAAGAAGCAAGAAACATGAATAGTGAAACATTTATTTTTTTTAAAGAAATCCATTTATAACTTTTTCTCTTAGCAACATGTTTTTGGTTAATAATAATAATAAATAAATGAGAAAATGAAGAAACTCTGCACATATCTGGGGTTGCCATATTGATACTTTTCGATGGAATGTGGGTTGCCACATGACAATTTTGGCAGTATATTGCATTGGAAATTTTTTTTGCAGGTTTTAGTTGAGGGTGTAGATAATCCAAGAGTACTGACATATTTTTAAGGGAAAAGTACTCATTTCTTTTGGTTGGCTACATCAGGCATTTTTTTAAAATATATTTAATACTAAAATCTCCTCTAAGGTGTTACTACTAAACATAATCTAGTTTACAGAATGCAGTTTTTTTAAAAGCTTCTTTCAATATTTTATTCTTTTGTTTCAATTTTGGTGTTAAAATAAAGAATTTTAAATCTTAGTTATTAATTATTTCTTGGTCAATTAGTTAATAAAATTATAACATAAGAAAAAATGCAGTAGAATTGCATGCTATTATATTATGAATTTCCATACCACTATCAGCTTAGTGCTTTAAGTTATGACAAGCATATACTGCAGGCTAAAATTGATTATTGTATTTTTCTGATTATGGTGTTTATGTGATATTTTGTAATGCTTTTTAATGCTATTTAGATTTGCTATAATATATTTTACATTTCTCTTATGGCCAAATTAATTACTGATACAATTTTCATGATGCTAACAACATGACACATTTCTTTTATGGAGAATGATTTGTTTTTTGTTCAAGTGATGTAGTGTCTGTAGTTTCAGGAATTTATTGGGAAGGAACAACTTTTTTTTCTATTATTGAAAATGTTTCAGTTTTAATACATTTATTGATAATTCATTGTCTATTCAGATAATGATAATTCATTTCTATTTTATATTTGTATTATCTATTATGAAAAACATTTAAAATTTACAATTTTTATTTTAAATATTTACATTAAAATTATGTTAAAACATTTACCTAATTTTTCAGGATGTCAGATGCGAACATCAGTCCCCGTGGTTTAATTCAAGCAGTTCGTTCATTTCTGTATTTCTCACAGTTATGTGCTTGGTTCAGTTTAACTGGTGGGAAGTCTCCAGAAAATGTTCATTACAGGTTTGTTCTGACATATATTTAATGTTATTTTTATAAACAGTTATTAATGCATAAGATTATTTCATGTTATATATATTTTATATTTGATCTGTTATTTCCTTTGTACAGGGAAAAATATATGACTAGACTAAAGGGCGAAAATTTATTATGCTGATTAAATTCTCTTTTTGTATGATTTTGGTCTGTTTTAGAAGAATTTCACCTACAAAGGTGATATTCAATATCGGTATTTCTCTCTGTTCTCCTAAATATTGGTCACTTTCAGAAGTGCTTGCTATCCGAGGGTTCACTTTAAATGCAGTTATTTTCCCATATTTGTCCAAAAGTGTGTATTTTAAAGCCAAGTTTTTTATTTTTTCATGTTATCCTGTAATATTTTTATCTTTTGGAAATATATTAACATTTTTTTGTTAATATTATTGAAATAAAATAAAAGCATTTTTTCATTTTATAACTTCCAGTATAACATACGCCAGACATATTTAGGAAAATCTGGGGGGGGGGGGCGGACACCGTGAGTGCGTAAAGCCATGACTTTGGAGTTAGTTTAGTCAGCGGTGGTAGTAATAATAAATGAATGTAGGCATTATCTGTGGCTTCAAGCAAGCATTAAATGTTAGACGAATCTTCATTTTAGTAAAATAGTAAACTCTTTCATGCAGTAGTACAATGTTAACATGGCGCAGACTGGTGTTTCTTCTTGAACAGCAATTTCAATCTGTCAGATAAATTAATTTTTCATATAAGAGCTGAATACAATTTTGTGATATTTGAACTTGAATGTGCAACTCAACGATTGTTATTTTTGAGTACTGAAGAGACTTTGCAGTAATTCTTTTATTTGAAAACATTTCTCTAGACTTCTTTTTCTCTAGACTCTTTTTAAGTGATTAAAAGAGTAACCGTAGAATGTCTGCTATATCTATATTGATGATCATTGTACCATGCGCAGAAACCAAGATTCATATTTGATGTGATTGAAAGAATAGTTATAGAATGTCTGTTATATTTATAGTACTGGTCACTGTACCCTGCATAAACACCAAATAAGAAAAGGAATTATCAATAATTTGTTCCTTTATCGTGATGTCCAACATGTTGGTTTTACTTGATGAAAGAATTTGTTGTTCATACCTTTTTCATAAATACAATCGCTTGAGATCCTTAACTATAATTTGCTGTTAATGATGATTGCCATAAACCACCATTACATCCTCCAAAATGTTATTCTTGATTCTGATATAAATGTACTTGATGATAATTAGGAGTTTACAATAATTATGCTATCATGTATGTTGAGTCCTGTGAATTTCAGCCCATTATATAAACATTCTAGGCATCCTTGAGGCTCTAATTTTTGATGGCATTTGTATAATATTAATATTGCCTTCTTGTTATCTTTATTCATAATTTTTTAACATCCCTTCATTTCTGTGGATGATCGTATTACTTCTGATAGCAAACAATAAAGAATGTGCTAAAAAAAGCAAGCGTTTTTTATTTTTAGTACAGTACAAAATCCATGATCCAAACTCGCTGCGACAATTTCAGACAATTAGACAATTTCAGATTTGTGGTTTTTCCAGATATTAGATCATCAGTTTAATCTAATAAGATGACATGTATAATAAAATAAAAAATACGAAATAGTGGTTTGTGAAATAATGAAGCATTTATGATTTTAAGGGAATCAAAATTTACCCCCCCCTCAAAAAAAAAAAAAAAAAAAAAAAAAAAAAAAAAAAAAAAAAAAAAAAGCTAAATTTTTATTTGCTTGCTTTATTAAACAATTTCTTCAGTGTAATTCATTTAAGTTACTTCAGGTTTTGTGCTAGTATTTTCTCTTTAATTCTATAAGTAGACATAATTTCTTCAGCTACAAAATTCCATTCTTCAGGTTCTTTTAATTGCTGCATTAAGAATTCCCACTAAACTAACAGTCAGTACTTTTTCCATTCTCAACAACCTTTCTGTCATTTGCTTCACTATCAGTAGTGCTATTTTTTAGATTTAGAAACATACTACAGATTTGGTTGTCAGTTAGTTGATTGATGATAGGGGCATTGTCATTGCTAAGAAAAATTTCTGTTGTATCATCTTTATTTATTGCTTCTTCATATTTATTCACAAATTCCATTTATTGGAACATTTTGTTTACAATATCTGAAAACCTTCAAATTCACAGCTGTCATCTTAAAGTTAAGCTAGTGTCCGTTATATATTAATGGCAATGTATTACGAGATTGGTGACTAGTGACACATTTTCTGTCATACACTGATGAAGTTAAGACTGAATTATATTAGTTTGGTTATTTATTGTACCTACACCTTTTTCTCACATATGGTTTTGATTTATCAGAGTCCTGAATAAATAAATACCCACATATACTTAAGGCACTGCTATACGTTTTCTGGCTCAGTGCAGCCTCTGCATGTCCTAAATCTGCTGCCAAGTGCCTCCCTAAATTTTGCATCCCAGTGCCTTCCCTGAATTCTTAAGACTTTTGTCATTCTTTAACTCTGTTACTTGGTGTTTCCCTAAATTCTAAAAATTTTCCATTCCATGCAGCTGTATCAACCTTGATGCCAGTCTTGGGTTTATCTGAACAACAAATCAGTTATTCTCAATTTAAGTGACACTAAATAAAATCTTTTGGCCTATAAGTATTATTTACAAAATTTTGTTTTACATAGAAAGAACTTTCTGTTAAATTTCTCCTCATCAACACATTTAATGCTTTCTAGCACAGTTAGTTGCAGTCTGTAATTGTTGCTAAGCATAACTTGCATAAAAGGTTACCATGCTTTTTGGTATTCAATTACTAATATTTAAAAAAAAAAAGTCTTTAGAACATTGCTGTATAAATCATTTCTCAAGCTGCTGTTGATAGTCATTTGGTGATGAAATCAAAAATTAATAAATGATGATTCACCAACTTGCCATCAGGGATAGGAATTATTCAGTAATCTGTGTAAAAACAGTGATGTTTCAATGTAAAATGTTTCAGTTTTGAGATGTATGCCAAGCAAAAATGGCAGAGAATAGAGATGTTCTAACAACTATGGAGCCAAATTATTTATCATACAGATTTATGCTAATGAATGATTATTTCTTCAGTAATATTTTATTTAATGCCAAAGGGAAATTAAGAAATGGGACTCTGTGTTTTATTATGTAAAAGTATCAAATGTACATGCATGAAGAATACAAAATACCTTTTTTCTGTTATTTATTTATTTATTTTGACTGACGGTCTGTCTGGGAAGTGCAGATTTTAGATAATTCTGGATATTTGACATCTGGATTTTGCACTTTGTGATGTAGTATTTTGTGGTATAATCTATTCTTTTTTGTACTCATGAAAGTTTAATGCTGTTGTGAAAAGATACTGGCTGTCCCAGAATTGTACAGGAAAATAAGTTGTTACAAAAGGATGCCAGAAATCTAACATCATAGTAACAGTAACATATAATAGTAATTATGTAATGTGGGCTGGATCTGAAATTTAGTATCAGAACTTAATAAAAGGCAGATTTAACTAATCCTATAAGCAGTAATTTAACATCTAAATAGGAATTTTTAAGCCTTCTTTGAAGGGGGGGGAGAGGTGAGAGAAAGGAAAAAATATTCATCTGTTTTTGAAAGTTTTGCTTTTTAGATTTCAAGACTTAGTTATTTTCTGTACAAGAATAAGAATATAAGAATAAGCTCTTGATGCATATGTTCATGTAATATTATTATTTAATTTGTAGTAGAGCCATGCCTAGGAATTTTTTCACCTAAGACAAACAGGTAAATCGGCGCCTCTACTCTCTTTACATACTATGCAATCAAATTAACTGAATCTTTACATTTTTAGGTTTAACAAGCTAAATCATACTGTAGTTTTGTAAGCAAAATGTTGTATATTCAGAAAATTAATACACATAATAATTAATAATATTTAACTAAAAACTGTCTTTGGTAAAGAGCAAATAACACTGGCAATAATGTAAAAAGTTTTATATTTAGGATTTTTTATAATTTTACTTTTCCTATTTTTAATGACATGAAATCAGAAATATTTTTTTTTCAAATTTGCTTTATTGTTTAATATACTAGCTGCTTGTATGGCCAGCTGCCTAAAATAGTTATTAAAAGAATATATATATATATATATATATAAAGTATTTTAATGAATCCTGCTCGTTTAATTTCTCAGGTGCAGCTAATAATTCAGAATAATAAAGATGGAAATCTGTGTTAATGCTTGTAGATCGTTTAGTTTCTTAATCAATAACAAGCAATTTAAATTTGAAAGAAAAATTTAGTATCTTATGCATTGCCTAATGGCAGTACCCTGCCTGTGGAAGATAAAAACATTTAGTACTATTCCATTTCACCAGCTCAAATCTCACTAAGCAGACTTTATTTGCGACAATACACAGTATACACAGTTCAAGCTATTATAATGATTTATCTTTCAATGCCTCATATAAATTTGGATTTTCTATAAATATTAAGAAATAATAATGAATTAAAAATTACATAAATATATTCTAATGACTCTTTGTCCCAGATATTAAATTGCTAATTTTAATTAAATTCTTGATTTGGTTTTCTTAGCTGTTTAAAGAAAAGCATACATGTTCTGCAGGTGCTCAAGAATATACTGCCCTTTTTGTTGATTTAAATTTGTTATTTTGAAATGGTGCCTCTTGATGCAGTTCAAAATTGAAAATTAACTATTATAATTTTGCAGCTGATAAGATGCCCTTCCTAGCTATTCACCTGCTGCAAGTGGCTTACTTGCATCACTCTAGGCCCAGCGCTGCATCGAGGCATGAATAAGGGATATTTATTTTTCTGCATTTTATGTGCAAAAAAAGAATTTTTATTCCATTTGAAAATTGATAATATTTTAATACTAATAATGCTATTAATGTCTGTATATATATTTAAGTGCATTAAAAATGTGATTTAAAGTAGATACTCCAAAAATTGTTATTTTAGGGTTAACTATTATATTCTAATGAGTTGAAAATTTTTACCATTAAACTATTATTTTTATGACAGTTATGGAAATACAGTACCTTAACTAAATTTTTACATTGTTTTTCATAAACATATTTCTTCTAATAAGTACATCTTTTCTTTTCAGAATATGTGTACCAGGTGAAGCGTTTTCAAGTAAATTTTGCTCCCAACCTGACTCTCACAGATTTCCAATCACAAACATTGGGCGTAATGCTGCGATGAAAGTTCAAATGAAATGTCATCCAAGATGTGGGGAAATTCCTGTTGTTCCTTGCCACAAACATTCCCAACCTAATTTGCCACTTAAAGTTTTAAAAGGAAGGACTGAAGAATTTGAAAATCTTGATTCATGTTCTGTTCGGGAATATGCATATGATGGAATACTTCCGTCTGGTTTTTCTTCCAGGACCAGTAGCCCTGCTGATTCCATGCTGGGAGAAAGTTTGCTTGATCCACCAAATTCTTTGTGCATGTACACCAAACGGTATCAGTCACCATCTCGTTGTGGAAGTCCAAGTATTGAAGTCCCCGAGCATCTTATGTTTGGGAAAAAGACTGTCAAACAAGAAGAGTTATCTCCACCTAGACGCAGCAGACCTCAACGACGGCCTGTAGTAGAGCGCTTCTTGAAGAAGAACCTTGGTGATGATCTTAGCTCCTCCGATGTGGCATCTTGGACTTTTGACAAAAAGCATGTAAAAACTAAAGAAAATGCAAAATCAGACATTTTATCACTAAAAAGTGATGTTGTTTTAAATTACTGTTGCATCGAAGACTGTATGAAACAAGTTCCAAGGGAGGAAATGGAACAAGTCTTAGAAAGGCTGAGAGACAGGCATTGTGTAGTGAAATGTTCTCATGAAAATCCTTCAAATCTGAATTTGACTGATGTTGGCAAAAGGAAAAATATGCATCACAAATCATTGTGTAGCTATGTTGAGGAGTTGAAAATTAACTCGCCCATTTTAGAACATAACCGAGAAAGTACGCAGAATGCATTTCTTAAACGTAATGAAATTGGTGATTCTAAACATCTCTTCAAGCAGGCACTGAGGCTAAATAAAGAATCATCTAATAACAGGAAAAATTGTGATAGAAATTGTAAAACCATATCTTCTATTGAAAGACTTTCACCAGAAATTCTAAATCCAAGAATACAACATTGTACTGATTCTCAATTTAGTCTTAAACAAAGCCATGTACCAAATCATTTACTAACAAATAAATTAAATCTATTTCAGTCACCAGGGTACTCAGAACACAGAAAAAATGAAAGCAATCTACTTCATACTATCAAAGAAAAAACTGACAGTACTATTCAAAATTTAACTCAAGAATCCAGTGATCACCAGTTTTCAAAAGCATATCATAGTGGTGATCGGACTGGTTCACATATGCAACAAATTCATCCAAAACTTAGCACTGTAAATATCAAAAAGTATGGTGCTTTTCTTCCTAAAAGTGTCATTGATGAACTATCTGATGAAAGAGAAATTCTTTCTGATTCTAGTGAGGCCCAGCCACTGTCATCAGATGGAAATTTTGGAGATGAGGTGAGTAGTTTAAGGGTACAATGCTGAATTAATTGCTTTTAAATTGAATGTTAAAACATATGCAATATTATATATACATGTATACTTTAAAATTAAAATATATATATATATCTTGTCTATATAGAAAATACTGAAAGTTTCTGTCAGAAAATTTTTCAGAGTTCTTTGCAAAGGCTTCTTCCTGATCCTAATCAACTGAACAATTAATCAACCAATCAGTGGTCATCAAATATATATATATATATATATATATTTTATTAAAAGGGAAAATAAGTATTAAATTCTTTATTCATTTTTGGCTGACCATTGACAACTGTTTAAAGCCATGAAATGCTGTTAATCCCAGACCTTGCTTCAGTACTTGGTAATCATATGGGCTGGCTACATTATTTTCTTTGCACATAACATAAACATGCATCTGTTTCTCTTAGAAAATTTACCATTAAGGCATTCCTTCTGTTGGATATACAGCCCTAGTTGGCTGTGCCATAATCAAACAATCAAATGTTTCTATTCTTCTTTCTTTAAACACAGAAACACCTTGATCTTCAATGTGTTTAAATTTTTGAGCAATTGGAAAGATATAAAAATTCTCTTAACTGTGTCATGTTGAATTTACATCAGTGCCAATGTAGTAATCAAATGGTTGTGTCAAATTAGATGTATCAAAACTTAGCACATTGACTGCCAGTATACATAAGGCTAAATTGCATGAATGGGCCATTGTAATTTTATTGATCTAAAGTGTTCCAAAAAATTCAAATAAATTTCCCAAAAGTTGGTACTTTATTTTTTGTGTGTGACAAATAATATTGGATTCCATGTTTTAATCATGAACATGAAAAGAAAAAGTAAATGTTACTTACCACATTTATATATTCTTACCTGCATTTCATGCATTGTTGGTAATATATACATTTAGAAATACATAAGATGGATGCATAGTCATCCTTGTTACATTTCTATGAATAGGTGCACAGTGCCATTTATTATGTAAGGTTAAAATAGAAAAGGGATAGCATGAGAAATATCATAAGAATACTTCTAGAGAATGATAAATAAAACCTTAGCTGTTGGTGATGGATTTCTTTGATGGAGGAAATCTGATAGATCTGTTAAAGAAGAAGAATGATCTTCTTTTTAGATGATATAAATTTTATTACCATACATTCCATTTTTTACATTTGCTACACAACTACTCATTTTCTTTGCATGTTTTACTTACTTGATGAGTTTATAACTAACAACAGTATAGGGTGGCCTACAGCAAAGTACTGGTGCATTGCTGTTTAGTTTACCATTCAGTACTGGTGCATTGCTGTTTAGAGGAGGCCATGAGCCTTCACTCTCTGTCTGCTGATTGTCAATCTGGCACATGAGATGCTGTTGCCATATACAGTCAAGAGCCAAAACATTATGACCACCTACTCAATAACGTAATGTGTGACCTATAGCCTGCAAAACAACTGCAGCTCACTTTGGCATGGATACTACAACTTCATGGTAGATGATGGAAACAGTTTGTACCAAATGTTTAAGCAGCAGTCATGTAAAGTTGAGATATTCTCACATGGTGATGTTTGAGCTCTACTCCATGGCATCCCAAATTGTGCTCTAGCAGGTTAAGATTCGATGAGTTAGGTGACCAGGACATTAACTGGACTTTATGCTCTTTGAACCAGTCCAACACAATTCAAGCCTTTGGACATGGGGCATTGTCTTTCTGGAAGATTACATTTCCAGTTGAAAAGACAGACCCCATGTAAGGGAACAACTGATCCACAGTTCCTGCAGATGACCTGCCATATAGCTGAGGAACAACTGTTTGCATAAAATATGGCATACCCTGACACAACCATTGATGTGATGAACGAGAAATCGGGATTCATCCAACCAGGCAACTTTCTTCCAATTATTCATGGTCTTGTCTCGATATTCCTGGGCCTACTGTAGGTGTAGTTGACAATGATGTTTGGTCAACAGAGGTACACAAGGGGGATATCTGCTGTGCAGTCCTCTATCCAACAGTGTCCGTTGAATTGGGTGTTCTGAAACACTTGCAGTTGGACGTGCATTGTATTGGGTTGTCAACTGAGCCACTGTCTGGTGCTGATTTTGCTGTACCAAGTGGGACAGTCTCTGATGTCCTTTTTTTTGATGATGCATGGGTGTCCAGCTATTGGCATCTACTGCTGATTTCACTGTCATTTATCCACTTTGCATAAATATTAACAACAGCAGATCGTGAACAGCCTACCAGTCGTGCAATTTCAGAGACACTTGTTCTGAGTCTTCAGGCCATTACTGTCTGGCCCCTATCAAATTTGTTTAAATCGGTAGCCTTTCCCATCACTTGCAAAAGTAAGTCCAAGAATGATTATCTTACCTTTTCTAGCAGCAGTTAAATACCATTCTCTCTATTCCATCTAGATGAGTTCATTGAAAAATAATTGAAAAAAAATTCATTGAAAAATTGGGATGGTAATAATGTTTTGGCTCATCAGTATAAAGCATAGTTATGGCTTTGTCTTCCTCTTCACTTTTTTTTTGTACCTCATGTCAGAAAAATGGTGTCCATCTTGTTGCATTATTACTAGAGCTCCTTTTCTGTGGGCCACCCTGTCATTCATCTCAGATGGGCTGCCCAATAGATGAGTTAGTTGTATAGAGATTATGTAGTTTTATAGATGTGTATCTTAAAAACAGTTAGTTTCCATTAGAAAGATGTACTTAAAAGCATTTTTTAATAAAGAAGTTAGTCATTACATGTTTTGTGATAATAAAGTAACCATTCAACCAATCATTTCCATAATTTTAATTTTCTAAATTATTAGCTCCTCTGGTAAAATTCATAGTTCAGTCATTAAAGATCTTATGAAAATGAGGATAGATAATAAACCTTCTTTTTCTATTGTACATGTACATATATCATACATGGTTTAGGGAATACGAATACTGACATTTATCCTGCAATTAGTTCTCAGGTTTCATCTTTTTGCTTGGGATTTTTTTTTTTTTTTTTTTTTTGTCTGTAATATAAATGTGAGATTCCCTATACAGTTCTCTGAGGGATAACCAAACAGATAAGGTTGCTAAACATTGGCAGTTTTGATTCCTACCAAATGGGCTAGGCTATCTACATGTCATTCCTGCTGATATGCATCATTAAATCAAACCTGATTCCTCTAGAAAGTCATCTACAGAGGCATCCTTACTAAAGCAGACAGGTTTTATCTGATTTGCTGTATTCATTTAGCCAGTCTTAGAAGGTCCACTTGAAGGAACTCCTAAGCTAAATAGATGTGTGCCTTGCCACAGTAAACAATCTAGCCTCTTCTACTAATGGCTAGTGATCTTTGAAACAAATTCTTTAATTTTTTTTTCTTTTGTTAAAGTATTCTGTTTCTACAAAAGATAGCTAATGAGTTAGAATTTTTTCAGCATTCCAAATGCATCATCATCTGCCATGATTGACAAAACATCGTTTTCTATTTAACTCACGTCTTAATGCAAGATTCTGTAGGTTAACAGTTAATAAAAAAAAGCAAATCTTAGTGCTTTAAGCAGTTTTAAATAGTCCTGTTATAATATAGCTTCATTTAGTAAAGAACAAATATAATTTCTTCTGCTTGATTTGTCAAGTCAGTAATAGCAAATTTAATAATATAAAATATGTGCTTTCGATTCATGAGTAGTAATTTAGAAATGTAGTTTCTGTATGTACATAAATCAAGCAATTCCTTCATAAAAATTTTGCTTTTAGTTTATTTTTGGATAATTTGAATATTTCTAACTGTTTAATTGTGTAAACAGATGCTTCTTCACTAACCTGCTGAATGAATTAAGAACTTACTTTTGTTTCTAAAATACATTTCATTTTACATTTGTGATGATATGAAAGGAAGTTATAGATATTTCCAGTAACCAGTGCTTTCGAGCTTTGAAAGCATCAAAATAAGTTTTTGAGCCATAATTATAACATTTGATGAACAGAAGATTCCAGTTTTTAGAGAGATTTATGTAACTGTAGATTACCATTCAGAAAAAGTTTTGATTAATTCCTTATAATTGAAAAACATATTGCATTTAATTGCCTGCAATTTACAATAACAATTACAGATAAAGAAAAGGACTCTTAATATTGGAATTTGATAAATATATTTGCATATTAAAGGATATCAGATGTATTAATTTTTGTAGATACTCTGCCACTGTCCATGAAAGAAGGGCCAAAAGTAGATAAACTTTTTCTATAATGGATCTTTCCTATTTTGTTTTTCTATTTTAAAGCACAAAAAATTATATGCATTGAAACAGGAAATCTCTTGTAGTAAAATCAGTACACTTCTGTTATCGGGATTGTATTCAGAAATGTATATATTGTTATGTTTTTTTCTTTCTTCTCCACGTTACGTTTAAGGGGTTCATGCAGATTTGGAGTGAATAACAACGACATTTGATGAAGTATTGAAAACACTTTTTTATTTAGCTAAAATTAATCAGGACAGCTCCAAAGTCACATTTTACAGTTGTTGAAGATCTACTATACGCTCACTGGAACAATCAGCGACACAGTCTTCAGGTTATCAGGCTATAATGGTGGAGACAGCTTCACTGCAAAGCACCAGAGTACAGCTCCCTACTCTGCTCGGTCGTTCTCGAAACTCCACGTACTCACAAGACTCTCCACGCTACAACTTGCAATGCACTCGATGACGCACAGAGCACAGCTTCTGACTCTTTGGTTCAGTCATTCCCGGAGCTTAACACGCTCTCTCGACGATGCACTAACAGCGATACACTAAGAGACTCTTTCGATGCACTCGACGACCCACTCGGCACTCGCTGCTCGGCTGTCAACTCGATCGACTCTGCACAGACTGGCTAACTGGAGACACTAACTATCTCACACTCTATGTGAGGCACTCTCTGGCTGTGGACCAGCAGGGTTTATATAGCTTTTGGCTTGTATTTGAGAACATTCTGAGCTAAACCGGTAAGAATTCGTTCCAAAAGGTTCTCCATCCGTTCATGGCATATCGCCAATTTTGTCGCCAGATGGTCGATTTCTTGCCAAATGGGGCAACCCTGCATTCCCTTGCCATTTTATGGCAACCCTAAACCTGCTTTTGAGGGGAAGCTATCTGCTATCTTACCGTACCTGTACATTTCGTAACAATACTTATGTATGTATACATGGATGGATGGATTTGTTCATGTATGCATGTATGTGAACAGACACACACACATATATACATACATTTCTGAACCTGGTCCCAATAACAAAAGAGTACTGGAAAATCCAGTAAATTTCTAGCATTCAGTTGGAACTAATTTCTCCCATTTACCTTTAATTACTGTCACAGGTTTTCTCCAAATTAGTGAATGTCTTTTGTGTTTCAGACAAAGACAAAGCAACTTAGACTTTTGTGTCTTATGTACCAAACAAAACTGCTAAATATTTTGTAGCTTTGTATGCAACATTTGTTAAATACACTATGGCTATTGAATTCTTAGTAAAATTAAAAACGTATTTCAATTGTATATTTAACAAAGAATTAAAAATTTAAATTTTTAATAAAGAATTGATAATTTAATCTGTTAAGAATTTTTTTTTTCAAAATTTAAAAATATTTAGTTTATAAAAGAATTTTAAATTTGGCAGGCATTCTCGTATTTTCCTGCTGTTCCATCTGCAGAGAAAAAAGCTTTGTTCAGGCGTTCTTTAGACAGTGCAACAAACCTTGTTTTTCATCAACGAAGTGGTCTTCCATTGACATCCAGTCCAGTGAGTTTTAATATTTATATACACATATGTAAATGTCTGAAAATGCTATATTTTGCCATTTCTTATCTTTTACTAACTTTCTAATTTTTATTACATTTGTGAATTTTGTCTTTTAATATATTTTCTTAAATTTTAATAAAATTGTAAAAATATAAAAATGAAGCATTTCTTAATTTTTTACAGGCACCTATTAGAAAATGTGGAACACGTTTTGATTTTGACAGTTCCCTCACATCTGTATCTGCCATTAAAAGGTACTATTTTCAGTAATAAAAAATGAACCTGCTACAGTCTCTTCCTGAGGTAAATTCACAAAATTTCATTCTCTGATACTCTCAGTTATGGTTGTACCTGAAATCTGGTATTACCATAATAAGAAAAAAAATTATGATTACATATAAGATTAAAAACATTTTCTTATAAAATGTACACTAATTTACTTTCATCTGCGGTTAAATTCCTGCAAATCTTGTATTATTTTATTTCTGCTTTCTTCTTAATTCTGTCTGTAGAAAGTTATAGTAGAAATTAAAATTTCTTATTTTCAGCATAGCAGTAAATATTTTTTTAATTCTTTCTTTGAAAATTTATTTTGTTGTCTATACGCTTTATATAGAGCCTTCTTTGAAAAAGAACCGGAAACGAAGACAGAGGAGCAAGAAAAAGTTATTCAGCTGAGCAATAGTGCTCCTGCCTCAATATTTAGCAGCAGTTTATTAGGAACATTTGAAGTGAGTGCATTAGTTGCTTCATTCTGTACTTTGAATGAATAAATTTCTAATGAATATAAAGCAAATTTTATATTCATCAAGTTATCTCTGAGAAGAATATATATAAAGAAAGGACGAGAATCTTCTGGTGTTCCTTGAATGGTAAAATTTAGGGGCATTAACTGTTCATTTTGTTAGCACAATAGCATCTTGTTGACAGAAACCTTCCGTATAACAAAAAATATAGATCAGCTTATGTGTGTTATGTAATGCACTGAAAATCATTTAAGATGTTTATGTTGCAGGGTGTACAATATGTTTTATCTAGTCATTATTAAGGAGTACATTTTGTAATAAGAAATAGTAATAACTTATAAATGCTAGTGATTTTGACAACCAGGCCAGGTTTGAATCATGGAAGAGGCATAGAGTGTCTATGTGGCAAAGGGACACTCAAAATACATGGCAAGCCAAATTTCTCTCTGAGGTGTTGATGGCAGGGAAAGAGAAGTGGGAGAATTTTAGACTGCTCCCTGTGGTATTCTTCCTCAAAATTGGTGCTGAAGCTTAACAGTTATGGCATAGCTAATGGGCAAGGTGGTGCAAGGAGGAACATCTATCCCCGGGTGCAGCTTCCAGAGGGCCCAAATTGATGTTACAAAATTTTAGAATGAAATATTTCCATTCTTGGCACACAGAAAGGGGTGCAAAATCTTCAGTCGTCCCTGGGTGCTGAAAATCCTAGCCACACTTCTGGTTAGCTAGGTTTAGCAATACCTTAATCCAGTGGCGTAGCGAGCATAACTGGTGCCCGGGGCAAAATACCTTTTTGGTGCCCCCCCCAAAAAAAAACACTTGCAGTAGTATAATGTATAGAATATATTAGTAATAAAATTCTGAATCTGCCATAAAAGTACTCTAAAACATGTTAAGAATAGTCACTACCTAACTACACTAGCACTGGATTCGGGAATGTATCCGCGTCGATTGAAAAATCAAACATATGATGATCTGGAATTAGTTAAAAAGGTATTATTTAAGACACAATAACATGCCAGACAAATACTAATTCAGAAGTCAAACAACAAAAATCAGTGTTATATTTTTATATTTTCGCAGAACTAGTTTCAATGGTTTTACCAAACCACCATCCTCAGCTACAAAAGTGCAAATGACATTTGCTACTTGAATAGGGATAGCTACTTGAATGCAACTCTTGCAAAGATATTTATGTCATGTTACAAAATGGGAAACGTGATAAAGGAAATAATATAGAGGATATAAGAATTTCTTTTAAAAAGACCAAATTTCAGCTTTGGCACATTTTGTGAGTGACCAGTTTCTGAAATTAGAACTGTGCCAATTCATATCTTCTGGGTAAACTGGAATTTGTCTGAACATCTTCACATCAGCACATACCACTACTTTGTAAATTCTAAACCACAGAAGAATTGGAAACAGCTTTTGTTGAACCCTTGGCTTAACCATAAAAAGGTCATTTAATGAATGTCTAAGACATTGTTCTGAAGCATCAAAAATGAGTCCCAGCTTACTAAGTACTTGATTCCTTCAATGCAGTGTGATGAGGCCCATAATACACAGAATCAGTTAAAATTTCTCTCTAAGGCATCTTTCTATATGTCTCAGCTCCAGGACAGCTTTCCATATGTCTGGCATCTTTCCATATGTCTCAGATATAAGAATTTCCAGTTTTTAAATTTGATAATATAAAATTTTCTTTAATAATGATAAAAGTAATTCTTTCATATGTGAAAATTTTTGAAACAGTAAATCCATATGATTTCAAAATTCCTATCACAAATAGTTAAAGCCTGAACAACCCTTAATGCATCTTCCTTTAAAAAACATTTTAAATATTGCAATTTTTAATTGAGTATAATCAGCAGAATCATAACTTACAGTAATTTTCTCTTTTAGTTTAGTTAACTTAGCTATGTGCATCTTCGTCTTAAGCATTGTAAATTTCATTATCTGATCACAAAGATATAGAGATGCATTGACTCGCCAGTTTCACCACAGCTTCGGCTCGTAGGACTACAAACTCTGTATCTTCCGTCGTTGACGTCAAGTGGACTGTATTCTGTTGATTTGCTGTCATACACCTTCAGTAGAACTTAAAAAAATCAGATTCATAATCTTGACTTAACCTTGTTTATTTTCTTCTTAAAACATCACACAGACTAAAGATTGGCAACTCACCAATCATGGCAAAAACTCAAAATTCACTTTGCTACCTCAAATAACATCTACACCATTGGAACTCCAATAACTACCAACTGAAGTTCTAAGCACATACTTAAAACTATAACTAATTTGTCTTTGTCGCACTCCTCAGCTCATTGACTAAAAATACAGTTTGCATGACATCAAACACAGTGCATACCACATATAACATGCACTCACTACCCAGAGAAAAGTATGTAGTGGATGTTGGATATAATCAGTGATAGTCATGGAAGGGTTGAAAACGGGTTGAATAAGTATAGCTTTTGTAAATAATTAATCTGATTCTTTCAAACAGTTGTAATGCTATAAAACATTTCCCACTCTGTTTCCTGCTGAAAACATTGTACGTGTACATAAAGCTATTCCAAGCTGCATAATTACATACAATTTAAAAATTTTAAATCTGTTTTCTAATTCTCTGCAGTCATTTACTCATAAGACTTGAAATGCATCTGAAATTCAAAAAAATTATGTATTCCAACTTATTCAACAACATTCTAATTTGCTTGAGAAAGACATTAAGGCTACTTCTTAGCTGGTGAATACATAAGCTAGCATAGAATATTAGTGATATGAAAGTACTTATGTTATCTAGTCAGTCAATGAAAAAATAATTTTTGCAAAAAGTTTTGATGAAGACTTGAATATAATGACTATTTACTGTAGTTTGTGAATTAGTACATTCTACAGTTTTAATGTATTGGTGATATATTTTATGTATACTTTTTTACATATATGTAAAAGAAACATGCAAAAAAGGTGTAGTTTTTAAAGCATTTTCAAATTTACCCATATAAAATTTTTTTGTACTAAACATATGCACTAAATATCTGGATCTTGTAATAGATAAACTGGAAGACTAGAACTTATAAAATGTAATTTTTACTTTGAGAGTTTAAAAGAAAAAAACCCAGAAACACGAGTTATTTTATTGATGTTATTGTTATTTGTTGTTGTTATTGTCGCAAGATCATAACTGAGCAGTCATGTACTTAATGCCAAAATATTATTTACTTATATGTGTAAATTGCAAGATTGTTTTTAACAGTCATATATCTTTATTGAATATTCAATTTTATTTTCTTTAAAATAATTTAAAGCATATTAATTTTAACAAGTTTTATGGAATCTGATGCTATGGTACATCGCGACTTATTTTGTTGGGAAGTTTAGAAACTTATTTCAAAAACTGATCTGATGTATGCACATTCTGGAAAATGTTATGAAAATAAAATAATTTTTAAGATTCTTGAAAATGTTGAAAAGTCCACTGGATTAACTATAGCTTATATATTTATTAGTTAGGTACTAATTTGCATTTGTATTAAATACATGAAAAAACCGAGATTTTTGAGATTATTAATACCATATTAGCTCTAGTGCAATGCGACACCAAAATTTTTCATAGATATGTAGGGAGGGGAAGTCCAAATTTAATGCAGTCTATTCATTTTTCATAAAAGAAGTTGTCTGCCATCGTATTGATAAACCATTCCATTTCATCATTCTTCTGCACCAATCCATACTTGCTTTAAAGTCCTTTTTAGAAATTTTTAAATGAGCAGCCTCTTTTAACGCTTTCAATTCTATGACTTCATGGGATATTGGGCACCCTTCATTTCACTATTTTAGGAATTTTAACACTCACTTCTCAACTTCGTTAAACCTTCCTTTTTTTTTTGCAACACTAGTATTATTAGTTGCGTTTTTTTATGGGCAGTAAAGAATAAAATAAGTAACCATCGCCAGAGCAAATATACAAGATATAACAGTTGCATGATCTAACAGTGGAAGCTACAAGATATAACATTGGGACACACTTATCTGTGAATCACAGACATGATATATAAATCAGGACTTCACCGCCATGTCTTGTGTAGAGGTGTGGCCATTGTATTATTCCAAGCCTCTACAAAGGTCAGGCGGAGGCATTGGTTGAGTTGTTACATGCCATTTCCTAGACCTCTAATTCAGCACAAGTCAATTTTTAACGAAAAATTATTAATAAAAAATAGCATTATTTTCAGGCTAATATGCTTATTTATAGTTAACTGTAAAAAGTTGGTGTTTACAAATTTTTTGTGTTTATTTTTCAAAGTAATTACATAACATTGATTTAATGCATTTCTTCATCTGGTTTTAAAATGTAGGAATCTGTCCTAAATGGTCGTTTGGAACCGGTGAGTACAGTTGAAGGATTTACAGCAGAAATTGGAGCAAGTGGGTCATTTTGTCCACGTCATGTCACCTTGCCAGTCACTGTATTTTTTTACACTCTACAAGACATGGACAAAGTTACCTCTCCTTACATGGTATATATACTTATAAGTTTTTATTTATTTAACAGGCTCTCTGTTTTACTTATTTTCTGCTGTTTTCAAATAGTACTTTAGTAAAATTGACTGTAAAGAACAGAAACACACACACATATATATATTATTTGTAATTATATATGTGTGTATATATATACTTATATAATTACAAAACAGTTTTTTTAAACAACATAATATAATTATGCCCAGTATTTTCGCGCATAAAACTGCTGAACAATTATCAGTAAAGGCATAAAGTAAGAAATTTAGAACCAATTTTTCACTAAGACCCAAAATTGAAATTCATAAGTAATAAATTTTATAAAATCCTATCACACACCATATTTGAAAATCATATTGTGGGATAAGGTATTTTGTCAAAAAACAATATTTAAAAAAATAAAGTATGTCTTAAAATTTTATTTAATTCCAAATATATACGTATTGCATTTTATGTAGGAAAATATAAACTTTTAAGGAAGTGTGCTTTTTGAGTGTAGTAATATAAATTTTGACAGCTATAAGAAACACCATACTTTGATGTTCAGAAGCAATCAAAGTGATATACAGTCAAAAGTCGTTAATCCGGACTCGTCGGGACTTCGGTGATTCCGGATTATCGTTTTTTCCGGATTATAGATCATCAGTTTAAATCTGGTAAAATGGCATGCAGAAATTATAAAATTAAAAATATGAAACCGTAATTTACGAAATAAAGTACAATTATGATCTAAAGTGTATCAAAATTTACAAAAAAAAAAAGCTTAATATTTATTTGTTTACTTTATTAAACATTTCTTTCAATGTAAGTTGTTTAAGTTGCTTCGTTTTTTATGTGATAATACATTCTCTTTAATTCTATAAACAGACATAATTTCTTGTTCAGTTACAAAGTTCCGCTGTTGAAGTCCTATAATTGCTGTGTCGAGAATACCGACTAATTTGTCAATCGAATTTTTTTCGTTTTCAATAACCTCTGTCACTTTCTTCGCTATCGGAAGCGAATTATAATGAAGAGGGCATTTGATTTAAATCATATCAAAGACGGAGTACATCGAAATGAAATACTACATTTAGTAAGCAATTATAAGCTAAATAAAATAAAAAAATCTGCCCTGAAGATAAGGATAGTGCTGACAGATCAACTTCCAATTCATCACGTTAAAGATAAACAAAGTTTAGATAAACAAACATTAAAGTTTAGATAAACAAAGGATATGCCTTTATCCATTTTTTGCAGCAATTCCAATTTTTGTTTAATGGACTCCGAAACATACTTTTGCTTTGTAGATCCGTTACATATTAGTAAATATAAATCGGAAATTCTATTTGACATAATCGAAAGTTCAAGCTTACTTTTATAAAATTGCTCTAATAGCCTGCAAAAAATAATAAGCTGGATCCAATTCGAAGATTAAGGAACAACGCAATCTGCAACATTAACTGAAATAGATAATTAGATAATTTTAGCTTAGCTTATACTGTCCGTAACACCCATTCGTAAACGTATTTTGCGCACGCGCACACGCAAATTCGCAGCCGTAGAGGTCTTACGCGCATGCGTCAATGCGACGCATTTGTAGCTTTGATGTCCGGATTATAGATCATTCCGGATTATGGGTGTTCGAATTAACAACTTTTGACTGTATAGTAAATCTCTTCCCTATTACAAAGTTATATGCCTTTTTTTAAATGCCTTGGGGGGACACTTTTGAGATGCTTATTGTTTCTGCTTAATAGAATCTGTTGATAAAATCTTAAATAGAATCTGTTGCCCTTCAGTGATGTGCTAAAGTTTTCATTTATTTTCATTACATGCATACGTAAAAGTAAATTGTTTAACACCGTGTTAAGTAAATCATTTTACTTGCACTTTTTAGCAGTATTTTGCAACAAATATTTAATTACGAATGTTATAAATAAAAACTTGTTTCTAATACCCTATAAATAGTCAAGGGCAAAATTTCTGTTTCTTTCATACACAGTCATCTGCATCAGAACAAAATGTAATAGTTATGAGAAAATTTTCAAGAAACATTTAGATTGGAAGTCTCTGTATATATTTTTGTTTTAAATTTCATTCTAACATAATATATAATTTTAATATTTCCATATTTCATGTTCAAGAAAAATTCAGAAACAAATAGAATTTGTAAAATTGATTTTATTTATTTATTTATTAGTTTTAATATTATTCATCTGTAAAGATTTAGTGTTTTGTATTACCAACAGTAGGTATTATTTTTATTTAAGAAAAGTATCAATATATGTATAAATTTTCGCATAGCTCAAAAAAATTTTGGTAAACTTTTTGAGGTGTAATCTGTAGTTTTCAGATCACTTTTGTTTTTTCTTTTAAATAACAGATTTAGAAAATTCTTAGTTTTGATGTCATTGAACACTGCTGTAAAACTTTAAAATGATGACTTGATTTTATTCAAGAGGCATAAATCTTCTAATTGAATACAAATATAGTTTCATCCAATAATTTTAATACTTTTCTTCAGGGATTTTTTAAAATTTTTTGTTTATTGATATTTTGAATTTGAAATCATTTCTGTTTAACTACTAACTACTTTTATAAACTACTTAAAAGTATATAAAGTAGTTTATAACTTTATAAACTACTTTATATACTTTTATAAACTACTATATATTAAACTACTTTTATAAATTAAGAAAAAGTCATCTTTAAAGGAACCAACACTTATGTCAATACTAGTTATTTTACTAATGCTTTGTTTGTACTCAACCTAAATTTGCAAGTTCTTACTGTAGTTCTTTCTCATGTGTACATGATTCTAAGCCATTATGTTCTTACAATTTTAATGAAAGCTTTCTAATTGTTGTAAAGGATATGTCTACTGAATTAAAATGTAGTTTCTAATCTGAATGTTTTTTATTTGAAATTTTTGTGCATAAATTTTGCTTTACTTCTGCTGTTATGTTCTCTGGTACTGAAATTTCTGTATCTGAAAAACTCAAAATGTATGACTTATCTGCGAAATTAAGAGTAAAAAATTTGTGGATTTTTAGATGTAGTATTCCTACATATCAGAGAAAGCTTTGCATAATAATCTACCACTGAGCCTAATTATAGTCCTGAATTTTGTGTAAAATAAAACTTAATTTTTAAAATTCTGTGGTACTGGGATGCTGTATGTGATATATATTATCTTTCACTGAGTATACCAGAGTACGTAGCTAGCAGTTTAATGAGACCAAATAAACAGAGGCATTTTATAGTACTGCAATCATATAAATGTTTCTTTTGCTAAAAACTCTTTCATTCGTGTGATATATATATGAATTAATTTTGGAAATTATTTGATAAATATTTTAATTTATTTTCATTTTAAATTGGCATCTTTCAGGGCCATATAAATTTACGAGATAAAGATTATCATGTACCTAAGAGAGGAACTGTTCAAGTGGTAAGTATTAAGTCTTTATACTGCCTTGAGTATAAACATATGCAAAAAGAATTTATGTAATGTTCCCATTAACTTTGTGTAATTATTAGTCTGCTGCAACATTGAATGTTGTTAAATTTTATATTAATGTCCATGAATACTCATTATTAATGTTGCCCAATATTTTTTGATAATTAAATTAATGTTTAGTTGATGATGTTTAGTTGAGATGTTTTAGTTGAGGCAAATTATTATTATTTGACTGCATGCTATTAAACTGGTTTATGTAATAACAAAAGAAATTGCTTATATGGAGTCTTTTGTTTCTAATGCTTAGAAATGTTGTAATATATAATGACAAACATATAATATATAAAGATTTGTTACAAGTTTGTATGAATGAAAAATATATTCATTCTGTATCTGTGGAAATTTCCTGAGCATAAGGCCATTTCAGCTGAGTCTAAAATGATCTGTTCCTTTGTTTCCAGGATATGAGTAGTTAGTTATTGTTCTTGTGGCAGAGCATGTTTTAAGTGGTTTCCCAAACTTCCAGGAAGTGCTCTGATCAGTTTTGATTGTATTTCATAATAGTCCATTGACTCTGTCAGTCTATGGCCATTCTGTTTATTCACAGTCAGTTGTAAGTTGATAACAGAGTACATAGCATACATTCTTCAGCTGTAACTGTTACGAGAAAGGAATATCAGTGGCAGTCAGAAGCTCTGTAGCAGAAATTTGTATGTCAGGTGAATGTAAGTATATGTATGGAATGAAGGAAATTTAAATTTAATGATGGAGAAAAAATTACATTGTAGATATAATAATATTGTATTTCCTAGATGTTGATAAGTAATGAACAGCAACTTGGCAGCTGAGGCAGAATGAATATTAATTTTTTTTGATAAATATTTTGTGGCCACAAGCAAATGGGCACAAATCGTTTGCCTTTTCAAGAACATTTACATTTTAGACAGCTTTGTGGCAAAAAGAGAGCAACAGGCAGCAGTCTGTCTAGGCAGAGGTGCAGAAAGTGTCTTTTGTTCAGAAAGAAATCTTAATTCAGAATGAGTTAATGTCAGTTTTCAATGCATTTGGTTGGATAATTAATAATGCTTTAAAATTATCATTGATTGTTTGAGTTTTAGTTCCATTTACGTCACCAGTGTTATAAAAGAGTCACAAGACATGGATTAGTCTCAAAATGATGCATTTAATGAATGCTAATGAAATGATGCTCGACATTTTTATATAACATAGAAAAATCTCGAATTTGGGAGAAGAGATGAATTTAGGAGGAGAGTATCAAATCTAGAAATGTTAATTTTGAGGTACCAATGAGCAGCTATCGTATTTTATTATATCTTGCTATGATTGCTTACTTTGAGAAATAATTTTGAGAAGTGCTATTCAAATTACTTCAAGTTTCATTTGACAAAATACATTAATAAAACAAATGCAAGAAAGAGTATTTACAAGAAGTAACAAAATATTTCACGGAAAGTGGAAGACAGGTACTCAGTGAGCTCAGTTTCTGACAAATTGTCCATATCAAAATCACTAGAAATATTGCGTTCTTTAGAAAATTAATCATTACTTTCATCCATTTCACTAATTGGCTCGTTTACCCTGCGAGTACAGTCAAAAGTCGTTAATCCGGACGTCCATAATCTGCAATGATCTATAATCCGGACCTCAAAGCTACAAACTTTCTGTGCATGCGTCAACGCATGCGCATATGTGTTAACACATGAGCATAATACGTTGACGCATGCGAGTTTAATGTATAACTGACGGTATAAGCTAAGCTAAAATTATCTAATTATCTATTTCAGTTAATGTTGCACATTGCGTTGTTCCTTAATCTTCGAATTGGATGCAGCTTATTATTTTTTTGCAGACTATTAGAGCAATTTTATAAAAGTAAGCTTGAACTTTCGATTATGTCAAAAAGAATTTCCGATTCTGGAGCTGCCAAAGGATCTACAAAGCGAAAGAATGTCTCGATGTCCATCAAACAAAAAGTGGAATTGCTGCAAAAAAAATGGATAAAGGCATATCCTTTGTTTCTCTAACCATTTCAAAATCTGTTTATCAATTTCATGTTGCTCTAATAATAATGCGGGGAGGGGGGAACGTTGCGGCACGCAATGAACTGTCAGCTCTATCCTTATCTTCAGGGCAGATTTTTTATTTTATTTGGCTTACTTATTTTTTATTTATACTAAATGTAGTATTTCATCCCGATGTACTCCGTCTTTGATATGATTTAAATCAAATTTCTCGTCATTATAAATATCACGAATATACATCAAATAATTAAGACACAATAACACGCCGAATAAATACTGATTCAGAAGTCAAACAACAAAAATCAGCGTTAATTCACAAAATTTTCACAGGACTAGTTTCGATGGTTTTACCGAACCATCATCTTCAGCTGCAAAACCGCAAATGAACAAGATAGGAAATAATGTTTAGATAAGATAAGAAAACCTGGACAAGAATAAGCAAGTGGCGCCATCTGTTGGCGAAACCAGAACTAAAACATAATTTCTCTAAAAGCCGAAGGCAAATTTGGATTGGAATTAGGATCGTTAACTAGAACAGAAAATTTTCTAAGGCATTTCTTCATAAAATCTTTCTGTTCTAGTTAACGATCCTAATTCCAATCCAAATTTGCCTTCGGCTTTTAGAGAAATTATGTTTTAGTTCTGGTTTCGCCAACAGATGGCGCCACTTGCTTATTCTTGTCCAGGCTTTCTTATCTTATCTAAACATTATTTCCTATCTTGTTCATTTGCGGTTTTGCAGCTGAAGATGATGGTTCGGTAAAACCATCGAAACTAGTCCTGTGAAAATTTTGTGAATTAACGCTGATTTTTGTTGTTTGACTTCTGAATCAATACATCAAATAGTTTTCTGGTTGCAATTTTCTAATTTCGACTCTGCGTAATGTATGCTTTGAGCATGCGCATGTTGAAAGAAATGTTTAATGAAGTAAACAAATAAATATTAAGCCTTTTTTTTTTTTTTTTGTAAATTTTGATACCCTTTAGATCATAATTGCTCTTTATTTCATAAATTACGGTTTCATATTTTTAATTTTATAATTTCTGCATGCCATCCTACCAGATTTAAATTGATGATCTATAATCCGGAAAACCTGATAATCCGGAATTGCCGAAGTCCAGACGTGTCCGGATTAAAGACTTTTGACTGTATATCCTTTCTCTGATAAATATTGCTTGCTCGCCATAGTAAACTGAAGTCAAGGCTTACTGATATAAAAAGAGAAGTACATAAAATATAAGTGATAAAAGCAATGCAAAGCATAACCCCATGTAGTAATCCTACCCTACATAACAGAAAAAAAAGAATAAAAAAAGGATTTGAAGGAATATCAGAACATGAATGTTTATATCATCTGATGAGTTTAAGAGCTGACCTTTGTTTGTATTACACTTTCCCTCCTTCCCCACAACAGCTGATACCAAAGTTAGGCAGAATGTGATCAAACTGAAGGCCAGGATCCTAAAACTATGTTCAGTTCAGGCATAATGGATACAGGACACCCTCTAGTGGTCTTTAAAAAATGGTTCAACTTAAAATGCACATATGTGTCACCTGTCTCCCTACATGCATTCTCCAGTGATGCATTGGTAGGATGCCCAGCTGTGACAGACATCATAGGGAATGCATATATGGGATAGCTGTCCAGAAAGGATTAATATCTCCACTTTCCACCATTAAGCGAACTTAACTGCATCTGTGCATGTTTGATATTATGGAGAACTGCTGGGTGATGGTTGGCTGATGGAGGGCGGACTACGTTATTGATACTCTTTACAATGTCTAACTGATGGCAAATTGCTAACACTGCTTGTTTAGGTTTTCTGCCTGTATCAGGTGGGATATAGCAATCTGGAGTCTTAATTTTTGTCAGGATCCTACTTGGCTCAGATGATCACCACATTCATGTTTAGCATGTTTACCAAGGTACCAATCTAATGCTGCTCACTCCACTTTGTTGCAGAGTAACATACTTCTATACCATTTGGAGAGTGCTACTGCATATGATACCTTGTTACCTTTAATCATTCTATATAAAACTACATTGATCAGCAGTGTTACGTTGAAAACTTCCTTTGACCTGTTATAATATTACTTGCATTGTCAGGCCTGCCAGAGGCTGTGTTTTTAATAATGAAAGTGCAGTAAAGTCTGGTCATCTTTTTATGATTAATTATTTTAATGAGGAGCTCATTTATAGCATTATGAGACTCTAATTAAGGCTTTCCTTTAAAATATATTTGCTTTATAAAATTAATTATAGGTGTGTATTGTTAGCATGAAGTAGACATAGTCTGGTTTGTTTTCTGATTAACAGTTTAAAATGGTTAAAGAATGTCTCTAATAAGTTGATAAAAATTTTATTATTAAAATAGTAGTTATTGTCTTTTGTTGTAAAAGTAATCAAAGAGAAATATATTTTGGTTATTAAATTTTATGTAATCTGTAATTTTCAGACCCTCTTCAATCCTCATCGTACTGTAGTAAAAATGTTTGTTGTTCGGTATGATCTGAGTGATATGCCAGTCAACTGCCAAACTTTTCTGCGCCAGCGTACTCTGTACATGCCATCAGATGCTTCAGAAATTGACCCAGACGCACAGAAATGGTTACGATACCTCATACATTTGAGGTAAAAATATACTTATTTTGAGTATGTTTATATGTCCTCCCGTTTATGGTTTAATTTTACATTTAATTATTTTTATTAGGTTTATGAGCTCCAAGTCTGGTAGAATTTACCTTCATACTGACATTCGAGTGATAATCTTCCGCAAAAGTGACCTAGATGCAGCCACTGTGCATGGGCAACGACCTTATGAGTTGCGGTCTTTCACACACGGCCCTCTCAATCCCAAGTTCTCTCCGCACAAGCCCTGACCCCATAGGACTGGGGATTCTGTACATAGAATTAGATTATTCTTCCATTGTGATCAAATACATATATAAAGGCCTAGTAATATGTTTAATTATGAAATGAAAATTTGAATTATATTATTAATACAACTTAGATTTATGGTTAACTTATTGTCTATATATATATATATATATATACATATATATATATTATCAAAGTAAAGGGTGCACATAAATGAAACTGTGTCATTATTGTTTTTTCACAAATTCTTTCCATTATAATTTTTACGTTTAATTGGTGAATGGCAGCATACTTTTAAAAAAATCATGGATGACAGCTGAGAGGGAAGGGACACTGATTCACATGCTAACCAAATGAGTATAAAAATATACAGGAAAAAATAAACCAATAGTTTTAAAAGAAAATATGTAAAATTAATATTATTTTTATATAGGGTGATTTAAAATTGGAAAAGCAAACTTCTTGGAAGGGTAGGGTATACCTAGAAGACTTAAAATTGCATAGCAATTCAGGTTTGGAAATGCAGTTCTAAGGAGCTTGGAGTGTATTAGGAGTTATCACAGGAAAACCGTCAACATCCACCTGCAGAGGTGTTAGGATAGAAAATAGGAATTCATTATGATCACAAACTGACATTTAAAGACCATAAAATTAAGCCCCGACTTTCCTGATGATGAAGGTTTCAAACAATTTATAATGTGGCATAAAGCATAGAATCTTAGATGTTGCAAAATAGTGCATCTTTATGTCTACCATGAATGTCTGATGGATGGCTGATTCAGAATGTCCGAGAGTCTGTGTGGTGGCCATGTTACAAAAAAACTTTAAGCAACTTCATTATCAGTAAATCCATGACTTATTTTAAGCTTATGGTATTTAAATGTCAATTTCCAATCACGATGTATTCATATTTTCCATCCTAATATCATTGTGGGTGAGTGTCGACAGCCCCCAGCAACCTCCTATCTCATTTGGATTGCATTTCTGACCCTGCATTGCTTTGGGATTCCAAGTCATTTAGGTGTCCTTGGCTCTCCTAGAAGTTTGTTTTCTTAGTTTTGAATCACTCTTTATAATTCATTCTGTTGAATTGATTTCACTTTCCTTAATTTATGTTAACATCTGTTAAACTAATTCAGAAGTCAAACAACAAAAATCAGCGTTATATTTTCAAAATTTTCACAGGACTTGTTTCGATGGTTTTACCGAATCCCCATCCTCAGCTGCCGCAAATGAGCAGTTTTGCAGCTGAGGATGGAGATTCGCTAAAACCATCGAAACTAGTCATGTGAAAATTTTGAAAATATAGCACTGATTTTTGTTGTTTGACTTCTGAATTAGTATTTGGTCTGTGTGTTATTGTGTCTTAATCTGTTAAACTGCTATAAAAATAGTATAGTTATGGAAAGTAATACCATCGGCAAATGCAAGCTTTATAAAGCGCTTTAAAAATTACCTCCTAACTAAAGGTAAGTACAAAATTTTAGAAGTGCGTTTAATTTTTCATATTTTACATATCCATGCTCAATGTAAAGAATAATGTGTGTATTATGGAATGTTGTGGACACATATCATAGGCATGCATAAAATGCTTTTCATACTCCTTAAAATTTAAGCAAATGATAAAAGTAATAACTCAAACACATATGTAATAAGGTCATAAACTTTTATTACAGGTATGAGAATTTCTCATAAATGTAGCAACATTTCATGTTATAACAATATGATAAAATTATATGAATCATTTTAATGGTGATTGAAATATTTGTTCTGTTTAGAGATGAACTTTGGCTAATTTTCTTAATGCATTCATTACCTTTAAAGCAATTTCAAAATTTACTTCACAATATCCTCTCACAGTGGAGTTTATATCCTATTGATGTCACAATGAATATGACAACATGGAATAATTCTCCCCCCCCTTCTCTGATTTTGTCTTGTATTATTTACAAGACAAACCAGTGATAAGAACTGAGGAGTATAAAATCAGATAATAAATATGAACATTTAAGTATATTTTTTACATTTGCATTCTGGAGCTGAGGATTACTTACTTAAAAAATTGTAATTTTGTAACTTCTAAAACATCACAGTCTATTTTCGTTCTTAAAATGAACATGAAATAAGAGGAAATCTGATATTTTAATGAGCTTCCTTTGAAAGTTCTAATCTTGCAGTTTTAACAATTTATTTCATTTATATTATATTGTATTACATTGTCATAAAAATGTACATTTAAGTACATTTTCATTACTTACCACAATTTAATTAGAAACAGATCTAGGATTACGGTATATGCTGCATTTGACATTCACTGTACTGAATTGCAGCTGAAATCATTAAATATTTTAGAAATTGTTGGGGAATTAGTTTTGTTCTTTAAACTGCCATTTTTAACTATTAGAATATGTTGAGGATTTATATAGATAATATTTTTGTGGTTCAAATTATATTAGATGCTTCTGGCTTTTTATTCTGATTTTTGTGATAAACCTCTTACAGAGAATAACAGCATTGAAACAACTTGATGAACATAACTTGTCTTCATTTCCAAACTGCAGTTAAAAATTATTTAAAAATGGAGAAATTTTTGGTTTTACTTTAGTTTTTTTTTTTTATATTAGTATATTTATTGTCTTCTGAGTATTTTATAGTATAAGGGTCGCTTTTAAAATTAAAAGGATCCTATCGCATTTCTTCTTGAAAATCTGTTCATTGTAAAGTAAACAGACTTTTAAAAGTAGTACCTATCTCCTTTAAAAGCATAAAATAAAACATTTAAAATTATGACCAAGTTATTTCTTCCATACTTTGTTAGCTGTATAATTTACCTTCATTGAACCACTCCAGAAAAGTTTTATTTCAGTCTTTCTGTGTATGTTTTAGTCAAATTAGTGAGTGTATTTTACAAATTACTTATTGTTAACACCGATTTACACCTCTGTACTGATATCAGTATTAAAATTAATTCTTTATTGTGCTAACCTTACAACAAGCATATGAAATACTTCATACTGAATGTAGCATCTTAAACAATGACATAACAGATCAGTAGTTGTTTATTAACGTTTTACAACTAATATTATGAGGTGGGGAGACTAACAATCTTTGTAATATCTATAGTAGGTATAGTCTCACATTTAATAAAAAGGATTTGAGTGATAAACTAAAAACATTTCATGAGAACATTATCTATTGTAATACATTATCTTACTAGGTTTAAAAAACATAAATAACAATTTTTTTTTGTCCCCAAAAATAAAATGAATACTTATACTAATTTTGTAACATAAATGGCATTTTAAGAAAAGTCAAATAGCTTCCCATAGATACAGTTTTTAATATTAAGAGTATTCCATATAGTAAATGACAATACAGAGAATATATATTTATATAATGAATTATACCAAGAAATGTCAAAGATCTGACCAAAGCTATGGATATTTGCTACATACTTTGTTTTCTTTTCTGCCAGTAAGTAACTTAATTTGTATGAAAACCAAATATTTTGTTTAATAATAGATTCTGAAAATGGCAAGGTGTGCATCAGTTTAAATCATTAGAAGGCTTATGATTTACACAGACTGGAGACTGGTTTTTAATTCTTGAGCTGTATTGTCAAGAAAATACTAATGTAAAAGCTAACTTTTTTTTTTAAAAAAAGCTGGTAGAGTCTTACAGAATTCTTAAATGAGTGTGTAATGTATTTTTTAAAGAGTCATTATTATTATTTATTTTTTAATAAGGTTTCTTTTAATTTATTAAAGGCATTTGTTAAAACAAAATTCTGCAGCCAATTGACAAAACTTCCATAAAAACTTAATATAACTTTGCAAAATATGCTTCATTCTAACATTTAAAATTTATTTACTCATGAAATATTCAAATTACTGTAACTGCCGTAACACTTAAATTATCATTTCTAGAATCAGTAATCTTAATTGTGTGCATAATAGAAGTTGATAGCTTAATGCTGCAATATATGAATAGTAATAATATCCATAATTAATGTCTTTTAATATTGCAGTCATTTAGATTGATGAGGATGCTTATGTCTTGTACTTTAAATACCTGAAAACTTTCAGGAGTGTAGTGCTATAATTTTCTTGTGATACAAGCAATATGTTGTAACTGAAATTTATGTAGGTTTCAGTGCAGCAATTTGACTCCATTCATTTCAGCCATGATCAAAAGAACAGAATTCTTGCTAAAAAATACAATAGCTGTAAGTCCTCTCAGCTTTGCCATCTGACAAAAGAATACATAACTTTTACAGGCAGGGTTTAAATTTGTTAAATCCCATCTCTGGTACTTCTCAGTTTTTTAAGAGAAATCATAATTTCCTGCCAGAGGCCAAAGTAAGGTAACTTCCTATAAATTTTTTTAATAACTAATTTGCAATGTTACTAGAAAATTCATTATTATTAATCTACTTCTTTACATTTAATTTTTAGTTCTACATTATTGCTTTATTATTTAATTCATTCTTGTTCATAATTTCTAATGGCTTTCCACAAAGCTTAGACACTTCTAATTTTAGAAATTAAGCCCTGCTAATTACCACATAATCATTTCTATTTACCAAATGATCAGTTAACTTCACAATCACATCAGTTTGATTTGACTTAAATCATGATCAAAAGATGGGAAATTTGCTGTCCAAACAAGATAGTAGTTATAACTACCATACCAAAGCGCCCTTGTTTGAATCCCACAGAAGTGTGGATGGATATTTTTAAATGTATAATGTCTTCATGACATTGGGGGCACTCTAAATATATGGTGTGCCGAATGTCCTCTCGTGTGGATTGGTGATAGGGGAAGAGAGGTGGGATTCCCTCAGACCATCCCAGGGTGCTATTCCTCAAAACTGGAGGGGGGACAACTGGGCAAAATCATACTGTCACCTATATGGTGCTCAAGGCCCTTGCCAATGGCAGGCGTAATCTTCCTACTCCTTGCTATGATGAATATCATGGGCTTGTTCTGATGTCAGATGAGCAAGATTAGTCACAACAACAGACTGGAGATTTAATGAAGAATGTAATGGCCCAAAGTCATTTCAGCTATTATACTCTGCCACTTAAATAAAATCTTTTTTATAAGCAGCTATCACATGATCATTTCTAAATAAGGAAAATAATGATTATGTAACCAGCTGCATATCCCATAATCACTTCACTTGTTTTGAAGAACTGTCATAGCAAGCTTATTGATTATTGGCATAATTCGGTTTGACACTAACATAACTAATAAATGAAACATGAATTTGTTGCTAGTTTGGAATACTGTATGGCTTGATTTGATGGAAGAATATCTGATTCATTTTAGAAAAGATTCAATGATTGCTCGCTAGACGGGAATTTTATAATCAATGACAGTGCATAGTCAGTCAGTGTCAGTAAGCATTCTGAATAATGGGGTTTTGAAGATTCATGCCTTCACACCAGTGTACTGTGCCATTTGTTTCTACAGAATGATCAAATAATAGCAGTTAGTTTGATGATTGATTTGCCATCTGTTCAGTACCTTACTGCAGTATAGTCTGGAACTCATAAATTTTGCTTCTTTTAGCAGTTTCTTTCTGCAGATTGCCTATATTTTTATATCTTTTCCCAGCGAACTAATGCACATATTGTCTGTTTCTGAATATGCCCACCAGCGGCTGAGAGATAAATTTGCTAAACAGTGGTAGCTTGACTTGAGATCATATCCTGGCAAATGGGCTGGCTGCATGGTTGGTTTTTGTTTTTCCTCCCCATGCATAGCATGGATGCTAGAAAATTTCGCTTAAAAGGTCCTCCACGAGTCATCCCAGGCATCGAGTTGCTTTGCCTAAATCAATTATTTAATCACCTAACCACTTTTTGAGTATAATCTCCATAAACTGGATACTGTTGTGTGATAGTATTGGAACTACTTTGCAATTTTCTGAATCTGTCAGTTGAGTGTATAATACATGTAGGTTATATTTAAATTCATTTTTGTTTAATTTTCATATTTCAGATGTTGCAAAATTTCTTTGCTGATTCCTTTCAGTAGAACACAGGTGGCCCTCGACTTTTGCGCATAATTAAGTGCTGAAAATATATGCTAATGTTGAATGTTTGAAAGTATAGGGATGTAAAAAACATTAAAAATTGTATTTTAACATATTTAACACATAAAAATATTATTTTAACACATTTATTTACCAATAATATTATTTATTTTATTACTACATATATTTATCAAGATACATAATTAAATTAACGGGGCATGTTTAAGTGCTTGAAGGTGTTTTCTTTATAAACTTGTCAAGAGTTAGTTGAAATCACCCATCAGCTTCTTTTCACTCGCTTTCAGTGAGTATTTCATTTAACTTTTGTTCCTCAATTAAGTATTCATTTGACAAAGGTACTGAGGGAGAGGTTCAATCAACTTATTAACATTTTCATTGCTGATGTCCAACTACAGTACATTCATTAGGCTATCTACTTCATCTGGGATAGGTTCCGGAATTTCTTCAAAATTTATAAAATTATTCATCATTTGTGGGCATAATTGTTTTCAGGAACCTTTCATTGTTGACTGTTTTTATTTCAACCCAATGTTGTTTATTGCATTCTATATATTATAGCTTTTCGAAAATCTCTTAATGTAGGCTTACCTTCCATGTTAGTTGCCTTAATGACTCGATTCATTATTGTCCTCATATAATATCGTTTAGGCATAACTGAGTCTTTGTTCCATGGGCTGTAAGAGGCAGGTAAGTATTGGGAAGAAGAAACACAACATTGATTTCAGGATATAAATTCTTTTGATCTAAAATCAGGATTTTAGATGTCCTGGAGCATTGTTCAAGATGAATAATGCTTCAGTTGTAAACTTTTATATGTACAATATTGCTTAACTCCTAGTACGAAAGGAAAAGGGAACTCATCTTTAAACATTAACACAGTAACCAGCTCGACAACTTGTCTTTCTGGAAGTTTGAAGAAAATTCTTGCGGCATTACGTTTTAAATTTCGTATCATTAATATTTATTGGTAATGTGCTAGCACGAACTATTTCTCGATGGAGGTTGAATTTCGAACCCCAGAATTCCAGTGATGTACCATTCTTATCAGTGTAAGTGTATGGTAGCAAACAGTTTTTGCAATTTCGACAAAAATCTTTAAAAAAGTGAATTTTTAGAAATGTGTGAATTATGCGAAAGTCGAGGGCTGCTTGTGTTATTATTTTTAAAAAGAAGTGATGCAGTGTTAAATGTTACATTGTTTATACCTGACTAAATATGCAAACTGTATTACGCTTTCCCATTTGTAATCTATTTTTATTGTTTTCCTTCTTATAATATTGTTACCTTTGCTCTTGCATGCTTGGGTTTTCACAAATAATTTTGTTGCTTTATTATCTTTTTAAAAATATTTCTTTTCACCGCTTCATATGAAGTTTGATTATAACCAGGGCAGGCTGTAGGCTTTTTGCCACCAGGTGTAAAGCCTTGAGCTCTTTAAATTCTAGCACTCAATGCGGTTGCATCGGCTCTGGCACCGGCCCTGATTATAATGCTGTATTAAGCATGGTAATGAAAAATGCATTCAATATTACATAAAAATATATTGAACAAGTGGAAATACTGAATTCTTGACTGAGCATTAATTATCACACATTTTAACTTCAACAAAATGAATTTCAACGAAGTTTTCTTTGCTGTTATTCTGTTCAGTAATTACGTTTGATGTTTAATTATTGACATTAAGGAGGATTATATCTTCATAAGTTCCTGGAGAATGTCTATTCCGTAGTAGCCAAGAAAAAAGGGAAAGACAATATTTTGAAGAATTCAAGATTTTAGGCCTCGGTTGCTGGGAAGGGTGTTCGGAATTCATACTCTCTCTGGGAAAACAAAACATAGAATATATAATTTGCATATTTTGAAGCTAATTATATAAACAAAGGAAAAATTATATAAAATCATTCTTTTTGCAGCATAACATAAATAATGTTACATAGTAATATTTGTTAATAAATATTTTAGATAATCAGTTGTAATATATAAAAAGCTTACATTATATACAATGCTGGGCATTAAACTTGCATGCCTAAAGGGAGGAATGGACATAAAAATTTCTATTCTAAAATAACATACTACAGTAACACATTTTGAAATCAATATACGAAAAGAAGAGAGACCCACCGTTAAATATTGAATATGTATTTGTTCGCTGATCGAAAAATACGGCAGCCATATCATATCAGAAATATACTTCCATATTAGGAAGTTTCCGTCTCTGATCACGGAAGAATTTAGCATTAAGGAAATTTTGCACTGTTTGATTTGCAAAAACTCTCGCTGCAGAAAACGGGCACAGATGGCAAGACATCGTTATTTCATACGAAACCCGCTTCTATCTGTAACCCCTTGGTAGTCATGATTCGTGAAATGACGTTGGCAGACTGTATGAAACTTGCACTGTGCATTACGAGTTCAACAACTGGGCATTATGGTATACGTTGCCACGGAATTTTAATCCTGCTCATTTAGTATTCACTCCTGGTGCATTGAACGGACTGGTTATATGGGTGTTTTGTGGTTTTCCCCATGTGGAACATGTATAAGAACCAGTTTCTCTCAGAAAGTCCTCCACGAAGGCATCCCTCCTAGTGCTTTGAAGACCCACTATTACATATCTGGTGTATTGTTGCCTATTATTATCTCTTTTTCAGGCCCTATTTAGAGCCAATGTGATAACGAAGTCCAACAATAGCTGGATGGCCACCCTGCTCTTTTCTTTGTTACCCCAGGGTTTAATTTAAAAAACTAGAATTGCCGAAAGCCTATGGCACATTAAGAAAGTGAGCGAAAGTAAATAAATGCAATAATTAATAATTAAATGTAAAGAGGTAAGTAAAAATTAATGAAAAATAATAAAATAAAATACCAGATCTCATCTTATTCAGCGTTCCGGGTGGATTAATAATTTCACTCAAATGTTAAGAACTACTGAATCTTGAAATACAGTGAGCTTTCACTGAATTTAAAACTGGAATATACATTTATTAAAGCACTATTTGAAGGGATTTCTTTTTCCAGCGTACCAATGAAAAAAGGTTAACACATCATTGACAAGAATAGAGAGAATGCTAGATATAGTATGAGAATATGGAAGAAAATTTTAGTGAAGAAAAGTATTTACTTAAACAGAGTGAAAACTCTAACCACGATCCCTTGCTAATAATAATTACAGCTCTCGAGTAAGATGTATGATAAGGGTGAAATGCCCCCGAATCCAAGAGCTGATCTGTAAGCTAAGAATAAACTCAAGATTATTATTATTATTATTATTATTATTTTTTTGTATAAGTAACTATTTTCATTTCCAATATATGGCTACATTGGTCAGCAGGTGCTCTTTTCTGTGGACTACTAGCTTTAAATGTATTTGAGCAGTTTATTATAGCATTTAATTATGCTACACCAGGTGTCACGGCACGCATTTAGGAACAAAACATATTTAGGACGGTTACCTTATTACTCTATCTTGCAAACTGATCGCCGGTGCCGAGTCTGGATGCGATTGTACGACTAAAGTAACAATGAATATTTACCTAGTTCCCTAATACGCTCATAAATTTAGTGCACTTCCTGGAGGCTTAAGATTCTGACATGTGGGTGAGAAATTTTCTTTACTTAAACATCTGAACTTCCGTCCATGTGCTTGTTTCTCAGGTATACATTCAAACATTTTAATTTTAAGAATGTTTAAACTCCTTGCGCGTCATACAGTATTACTGAAGGTTTACAGAGGCAATTAAAAAAAAAAAAAAAGAGTACAACAACACAAGACAAAGTTACAAATTCACAGATGAAACCTAAGAAATAAGTATACAAAACGAGGAAAATATCATTTTATCTTAAACAAACATACGGAGAGAGGAAGGAGGAAACGTAATGTTTAACTGAGAAATGAATTCTCTCCTTCTTTCCATAAGCTTTGAACAGTAGAACAACAAATGCTCGACATTTTGCACTTCCCCGAACTACAGGAACACAAGTCTGTATTAGATAGCTCAAATCTCTTCAGATGTGAGTTAAAATTTTCGCGTGCCCAGTTAGAAATTTAGTTGTTTCAAAATTGCAGAAAAAGTATTTATTATTCAGTCGAAGAGAAATTAAAGGAAAAAATAATTCAGTCAGAGAGGCAGTAGAAGTTGTGTGTAATTCATTCCATTTGAGAATTGTTTCATGCCAACTTTGTTTCTTGAATAATGACTTAGTGTCATTAGGGTGTTAACTTGAAGGTATATAGCTTGTTTTGCCAACTAGTCAACATTTTTTTTTTTCATTCAAACATTAGTATCTATTTCTAAATCTTGCTTATTGCTGAAATAAAATGTAATGAGATCAAGAGAATTATATGTTGAAATTGGGATTCTGTGTCTTAAAAAGAAATAACAAACCTCATCTTCTTTAGGGCTCCGATGCGCTTTGGCTAGAATTAAGATTTGTGTAAAAAATGATAAGTACTGGATCCCGGCTGTGATGGAGTTCGGTCCAATTTAAATCTGTATTACCCCATATGTTAACCGAATCTCGAACTCCTCTTATTCTTGAGCGCACAACGATTACCCCTAATAGCAGATGTATTCTAAACGCACATTCAGTATATCTTCCTATCTATGCCTGGTCATGTAACAGCAGTTATGTCCGACTGCAAATAATTTGTAACATGGGCCAGAGAGTTCAAACTGTTTTTACTGGTATAGGAGTCAAACATTCGGACACCAAGTCTGAATTTAAATGTAACCATGTTTTAAACTAATTGTCATTTTGGTCAAATGCATATATCAGATACGCTACTCAGAAATTATTACTGAAGCAGACTTTCGTGATTATTCTATTAGCCATTTAAAACAATTTCAATCTTCGCAAACAGCATGAGCGTACAACCTCATTAAAAGTAAGTATTTCATCCTGATGATATCGTGCAATCGCAAAGTGTGTTGTGTTATGTAATGTTAGTATAACTATATGATGCTATAGAATTCATTACATATGAATAGAGTTCTGCGCTGAGGCTCCATCTATTGATATGCATAGTCTTTAAGAACAACGCTCACATTCACACTGCAAATTTTGGCAGGAATGGTACTGCTGGATTCGGTTGTAGTAGTAGTCGCTAAGAATTAAAAGTTAAAAAAATTAGACAAAAATTCTATCCTGTAAAGGTACACATTTACTCTGATTATGCAAAGCATATCGTTACGACGAATTGTCATCCATCTAGAAACGGTAAGAGAAAAATAAATAAAATTCATGCTCATAAAATACATCTAAGTTGGTTCTAGCAAATCGATTTGACTCTACCGAGGATGAAAGACTAAGCTTGGAACAGATAACACCTTTTGTATATGTTATTCATATGTGGTGGAAACGACACCTAGGCAACAGCAGTGCAATTTGCCAGACTGCAGTAAAGGGTAATTGTCCTGTACTTAAGTACACCAATCTTCATATGCATATCATTACAATCTATACTCATTCATTGTCTAGCTTTTCGACAATAACTGGCTTATACTGAAGAAATCCTCTTGTTAGTAAACTAAGGTTTCTTACGATAGGCCTATACTGAGCTGTATTCCTGCTTATTTTTACAAATATCACAAAGAGCAAAGATAAGACTGACGAATTAATTAGGCAGGCAGTCAATTCCATCAATATCTTGGAGTCTACATACCTGTTACATCAAGCATATTATTGCCAGACAGAACAATGACATGAGCGCTATTTATGATAAAATATGTGCGCTGTTGTATAGAATCGATAAGAAATCAGTTTTACCAACTTCTCTGAAAATAAATACCGAGCTGGTGAGCAGAATCTTTGTTTTTAAACAGGCCCATGGTAATTTCGTATTATTTTAATCGTTTCAAGCCAAGGAAAACTAATCAATCTGAATGCGGAGGAGAAATTTTTGAAGATCATTTATTTTTCAATGTTTTAATGCGGCATATTTTTATCTACAAGCCTATAACACAAATATTACTTCAAATAACTATGCTACATAGTGCAATATTGAGAGTTCCATTAAGATTATATTCATAAGTATGCAACAAACTCCCCTTCATGGATGAAAGATATTATTGTTAGATCGTCCTATCATATGTGTACATTCTACTATTCTGTTAGGTTTTTATCGCCATTGTCGGAAACCATATATTAGATAGTAAAAAGGTCAAAGCAATTATTATGGTTCATGCTGGCTGCAGAAGTTACTGATTTCTTAACGTTCCGCAAGTCGAAACGAAATGTAATTATTTGACACCTGTACTTAACAAGTGTAGGTTTGATAATTCTTCAAAGTGAAACATTTTCAATTACATGAGGCATATTTTAAACAATAAACTAGTTCTCTTGTCCTGATTAGATACTGTCAATAAATTTAAAAAAAAAAAAAAAAAAGGAATTATCCTTTGGGGAGGGGGAAATCCTTTGGGGAAGAAGAAAATAATTTTGGATATAGAGTATAAAAGTATAAATGGTGTAATTTAAAACTTTAAACTGTTCGACATATCCACCATGCGAATTAAGGCATGTGTCATATCTCGGCACTAATTGCAACATACCATTTCGTAGAATTCGGCTGCCTGCTACCTGAACCAGTTTTGGACGTTTAACTTGATTTCATCCTTACTTGCAAAGTGCTAGCCAGCAAGAAATTTCTTGAGATGAAAAAGCAATTGGCAGTCGGATGGAGCTATGTTCAGACTATAAGGAGGGTGGCAGAATTATTTGCGCAGCGAAATGAATCAAGTGGTGTCGTCGTTACGCATGCGGTATGTGATCGCGCATTGTCATGCATGAACACAATACCAGAAGTCAGTAGTCCACGCCTTTTGTTCTGTATCGCGCGTCTAAATTCTTCAAGTCTCACGGTAAGCTGATTGTTGTTCCTCGTTCCATCCAGTCCACTAACAAAATTCCTTGATAGTCCCAAAACATGGTGCATGCGATTTTTCTTGAAGAAAGAGGGGGGGGGCTTTACTTTCTTGTATTCCGAGGAACCAGTACGCTGCCTTTCCAGTGACTGTCGTTTCAGTTTCAAGTGTCTTGCAACGAATCCATGTTTCATCACTTGGGACAATCCTTTTCAAAAAATCGTTTATTTCCATCACACAACGCTGAAAAACTCCAAGACTTCTATCGGGCGTTTTCGATTTTGAATATCTGTTAGTGTTTTCGGTACCCACAGCGGATACAGTTTTTTGTAATGCAAATTTTTATTCACAGTTTCGTGTAATAAAGCTGGCGAAATGTTTTGGAAATGTATTGATAAATCAGAAATCGTGAATCGCCTATTGGAACGAACTTTTTCGTTGATGCAGCGTATCATTTATTCGATGATCAACGATGGGCGTCCATTACTTCTCGTCGTGGACATTTTCCCTTCTTTCATTAAACATCCTAATCCACTTTCGTTCCATACCTTCACTTATCGCATTGTGTCTGTAAGTTTAATTTATATCACGATAAGTTTTGCAAGTTCGAATATTTCTAGCATTCAAAAACTTGATAACAACTCTTATTTCACAATTTTTGGGCTGATCGATTGTTTTAAACACGATTACCGACAATGACTTCAAATGTTAACGTAGAAAAACAAAAAAATGGCTAGGCTAATTCTTTTTTGAGTTGAAAGATTTAACTACGCATACACGACCTTCTTGCTGTCAGATGCGCGGGAGTTGTGCGCAAACGGTACTTGAACCGCAATTTTTGTGCGCAAACGGTACTTGAACCGCAATTTTTGTGCGCAAACGGTAGTATCTGGATGAGCTTAGTACAAACAATAATTAGACAAAAATTAAATATTTTCTTGAAAATTATAATCACCTGATTTGAAGCCGGGATTCCACGGTTCTTTAAAAATAGCCCATCAAAAATTTGCGCAGATCATTGGCAGCACAAAATGTGTTAGAAAGTTAAACGATAATTCATGCGCTCGATATTGTTTGTGTGTGTATAGAAACTTGAATGCTCTTTATTAGTAGCTTTCAGTTTGAATTTTCATTTTTTAAGCTTTCAAGTAAAAAATACCATTCATCATGTAAAAGGCGTAATTTTTTTTACCTTAATAGCCATAACATCCTGGGCTGGGAAATCGTATCGATTTTTATGTTTGCTGGGCACTATTTCGGTAACATAATGTTTCACATATGGTTGGGCCTAAAAAGAGAGATTTTGAATGTTAAAAATGTGACTTAAAATGAAGACTGCGTTTCCGTTTTAGTATGTTGTATACTGTTAAAAGAATTTTCATGCATATCTGAAAAAAGAATTAAAACAAACTTACTGATTGAGATGTTAAAAGATTTTCTAGATTTTCTTTTTTATGATTTTCGGTTTTTCTTGGAGCTCCATGTCCGGGTCGGCCCCAGAAGGAATCCCACGTACTGATATGCTACAACAATAAAAATGATAGTACCAAGATATGAAAGTAAATTAATGTTATTTCTATACATTAATGGTAAACAGTGAAATTAAAAGGGGATTGTAATATTTGAGTATCAATAGTATAGACGTTAATTAATATCTAATATTCTCATATGAATCAGAATAACAATAACAAATTCATCAAGAAAACTCAATGGAGAGATGTAGAAATATATGAAAAAAATATTATTCAAGTGATAGTGCTAAAATAACATATGTTTTTCATTATCTACAACAATCTTTAACTCCCAGTTAAAATAACTAAGAATTACTAAGAATTGTATAGTTTTCGAGTGCTTTGTCTCAATAAATATCAAACTCTTTCCTCTATGTACAGTTGTGTAAAATAATTCTGAGGAGTATTAATTTAGCCCCTCTTCAGTTGCAAGTCTAATGCTTAAAACAGAATGCTAAAGAAATGTCTCTTTTATTTCAAACAAAATATAGGTATTAAGCGAATATTGTTTTAAATTTCATTAATCTTATCCAAATATTTTTCGTCTCGTCCATTGATTTTTCAAATTTTCAAGTAAATTCTTCATTTCTGCTGTATAGTGAAAGATGCCTGTGATTACTAAAATTTTAATTTTTGTCCAGCAACGCTATGAAAGGACTTAAAGGTAATATTATCCAAGAAATTGGAGATAACGATGTAAATGGTCAACTGGAAGACGATGAAATTCGCTGGAACTTGCTTGTAGCAGATGAAGACCTTCGAAAGCTGCTAGGAAATTCTGAAAAATTCAGATGAGTCGGATAGCGATATTAACTAAAGAAAAATTAAATAAAAAGTATTTTAAATTTAACCAAAACTTGAAAACTTTGCTAAAATTTTTCAGCTTATACAGGGAATGCGATAAGTTTTGTTCTTCAAAATCTCTTCAGGTTGTTGCCTTTAGGTTCATCTGACGATCAGCTTTGTACGTTAATGACAAGTATTCCCATGAATCTACCGTTTCTTACTTTCAGCATAACGTTATGTAAATAATACGAGCTATTCTACATTTTATTATGCTTTGTATCAAATAATTTTTTAGCCTAATTGTATATTAATGTATATTTTCTAAGTCCATGTAACTTCATAAATTTACTAAGGCATCACCTTTTAATAAGTTATACAGAAACTGTATTTTATTCGAATATCTACAATGATAATGTTATAAATTTTAAATAATGTTAATGACTTACTTTCTCTGATTGGGCTCTCTCAAGTTGTTTTTGTTTCTGCCTCATCTCCTGTCTCTGGGCTGCCTGCTGTGCCAGTTCGTTGTGGTATACCAGACTTTCTTGAGATTTTGCCCTTCTTATATCTAGTCGCTGTTTTGTTTCATAAAACAAAAATTCTTTTGTTATGCTTATTGTTTTCAAACTACGAAAAATAAGTAATAACAATATCTAAGAGATACCAGACTGAGGAATAAGAATAATAGAGTAGAAACTCGAAATATGAAACGTTCTTCTGTTGAAAGACGTACGAGTTTGAACTCAAGGATTGCCCTCGCAGAATATTTTATAATAAGTATAGTAAACTCGGCGTTAGGCGTCACACAAATGGTTATTTCGTATTCCAGTACATAATACAGTAAAAGCACATTATATCTCGCCTACAAATATGTCGCGGGCACTATAATATATCCCAATATTTTTCTGACATTATTTCGTGGTATCGATTTTTATAGCGGAGTCTAATTTAATTTCCATTTTCTTTCATTTAAACTATGAATACCTATATACAAAGTGGATACAACTAGAATAACTCTACTCAAGCGTATGCAGAACCTGTTCTGTATGACATATTTCGTTGAAACTTGGTATACACATCATGGACCACGGGAAAAAGAAAACTCCATTTAAAAATAATTGTTCAAATTTCGACTACTAAGTTTCGCTTTTCATACAATATAAAAAGGGCATTTTGTACTTTTTAAAATGAGCTCCCTAGGCCAGTAGTAAATGCCAGAAAATCATTCTTTAGAGGGGAAAAAAAAAAAAAAAAAAAAAAATCATGCTTTATTAAATAACTTGTTTTAACAGAACTGAAACAATAGTTTAACAGTACTGTGAGAATATCAACATTTGAAAGACTTGCAAAAAGAGCCTATGTCGAATAAAAAAGTGATTGATTACTAAATTAAAAAAGATCAGACAGTTGAGTGAACTGACAGGAAACGGACGAAGACAGATTTCAAATAAAACTACTGAACAAGTCACTGCTGCCGTCAGTGCAGGATTTACGTACAAGCCGCACAAGCTGTAGCTTAGGGCCCCTCCCCCCACTTTCTTGGAGACACTTCCAAAATTTGTAGCATATTCCATATAAAAAAATCGGCTCATATCCCTCATTAAGGGATCTCATCTCCATATCTCAAATAGTTTAGGATCTCGTCTAATCTAAATCCGGTCCTGGTTGCAGTGGTTGATAGAGCGTCCTTTTCTACAACGAGTGTTCGATCGGTGTCATATGATTTGCCTAGCCCTTGGTTTAAGCTATGAAATATTCTGCATCCATTTCAAAACAGTATCCATACACGATTTATAATATAGAGCAAAAAATACACCTCAAGACCCTTATCAGCGCACTGATTTTACGTTTTTTTTTTTTTTTTTGGCGAGGATAGTCTTAGATAATTCATGGCCCTGGAACATTTTATGGTTAGAAGAGGCGTATATTGCCTTACACGGAGCTATGAATACTCAGAAATGTCGCATATGAAGTACTGCAAGTCCCAATGTTATGCAAAATCAGCCTCAGCATTCTGAATATATGCCTGTATGGTGTGGCTTTACTCTTGCCTTTTTAGTCCATTTTCTTTGAAGAGAGACTCCTCGAAGCTCTAAGAAGTGTATCGTCGTGAGTACCCGTTATTGCGAAATTCTTCAGTAGGAGCCATCCTGTCTTATATTCCTGTCTTCATGCAAGTTGGTACAGCGGACCATATTAACCGATAAGTGAAGAAACTGCTTTGTGCTCACTTTGGAGATGATGGGGTATTTTCCAGAAGTTTCTCGAATGCTTGGTCTTCTCATTCCTCGGACATGAATTCGTGTGACTTATGGTTGCGGAAATTGCTTTTAAAAGAAGAAACACACGAGCTCTGCTTGAATTGAAAACAATCATAACACGCTGCGTTGCTGCAACTCCTCAAGAAACCCTTAGAGCTACTACTGGACATGCTATAGCACACTTTGAACATTTGATTGACGCAAATTAAATATATGCCGTGATTAAATAAAGTTTTATGTTTCCAGTTTAATTCTTGTTCTTTATGCGCTACCTTTCACCTAGTTATCAAAGCTTGAACTCTTATTTTTTAATTGTAGTTTTCTTTTTTGAATGGTCCATGCAATGTATGTACCAAGTTTGAACGAAGTATATCACCCAGAATGAACACTGCATTGGTTTGGGTACGGTAAATTTAATTATAACTACTCTGTATCCAGTTTCGATTAAGCAATGACGTTGAAGAAACGGACGTAGCAATTCTAGCAGACTGAATTCTAACACTTTTTGCACTCTGTTGCAAAAGTAGATTAAATTTTATTTAGATATAATATGCTGTATATTGCGATATGGAAATAGTAAATTCGTATTTATCTAATTAAGCAAATACTGTACTATGCTAACACTGTGCAAAACTGTATGACAACGATATGCAAACCTAGGTAAGCACTACTGTATTGCATTTCGAATTGATTCGGCATAAAGTGGTTAAATTCTAATACGGGTGTCAGTAATGGCTTCTGACATCTGCAGTACAGCGAAGTTTTTACAATATATGTCATTAGAAATATCTTATTGCTAACATTAAATGTCTTATTATATTACTGAGAGTATAATGTAGTTAATTATATCTTATTCCAAATTTCAGCTACACATACACAACAGTACCAGCCAGTTTAGTTAAGGGTTACTAATTTAATTATTTATTACTAATTTTTTAATTCTGTCAATTAAATTCTGTCTGTTATTTTATTGAATTTAATAGCCGTAATCTCCTTTTAGCAATCAGGTTTTACTTGAAAGAGACAGGTGTGTTAAGTAAAATGGAGTATTATACAAAATTAAAAATACAAGTAATTAATTTATCGAGCTAAAATTTATAGATAGTATGCATAAAGATTTGTACTATTCTGGTGAACTTGAAATTTTTGATCTAATTAACGGAGGAATTATTGGCATTTAAATATAATTTTGTGACAAATGGCTAAGATTAAAAGGCAACTTTCCAATGCAGTTTTTAGCGTTCGTTGCTAAAGACTTGACAGCTGTATTATAGTTTCGCCTTCCACATCCGCTGACCAAGAGTGAGAAATTTTTGAATGGGAAAGGAGTTACATTATGCTTAGCTATGTGGGGCATTAAAACCGAAAGGGCTAACATTTAGGTGAGAAATATGATCTTTTTTGTATTAGTTTGTTCTTGGGGCGGGTACTGGAAAATCTGACCTCTTTTGTGGTGTTGGATGGGGTGTGATAGGCTTATTCCTTTAAAATACAAATTTAGGCTAGTCCACTGATAACCATCCAAAATTAGTTGCGCCAGAAAATGTTAACTAAAGCAGTCTAATGAATAAGCTCATTCAAGAGAGAGAGATGATTTTGCAACTGAGAGACTTCAGACCACTTGAGACTTTTCCGACTTCAGAGGCGCGTTCTTGAGTAGAGGCGGTCTTGAGCGTATTTTTCAAGAGACTCTAATTTTTCTTTAATAACTGCCACAGCTGTTAATGAACACTCAGATTATAATGGTCAGTTATGCCTTAAATATCTACTTTAAGGTAGACGCCAGGTATGCCCAAGCTATTTTATCGCCAACCGGAGAAGATAACCTTATTAACTAACAGTGGCTTTGCCGCTGCTAAATCTACTGCGATCTCATGTGCAGGTCGGATAACTCTGATTCCAACTTGTCTGCCACCCAGGAGTGATCGCCGGGGTCCTGCAGGCACGGATTTTCTCAGTATTCGCCGGGGAATATTCACGCAAACATGCTCGGTTTTTTTTTTCGCTGTGGGGATTTAAACACCACACACCATCTTTAAGCTAAGTGTTGCTTTCATTTTTTTTCCCACTTCTGCCAAGCCATTAATTTATGATAATGAAATCCTGCATATAAATCTGTAACTGTTAGAGATAATTCTATTCTACTAGCCATTAATCGATAATAATGTCCTACGCTTAAGTCTGCAATTGTTAAAGAAAAAGTGTCTAGAACCGGTTGACTGAAGTGTAAAAGAAAAAAAAATATTTATATGAATATTGAAGTTTAATTATGTGATTGAAAAAAAATGTTGATCTTTTTCATGTAATACTACTGCAGTTTTTTTTTTAATAAAAATTTATCTCTGCCATGATTTACTTTAAAGCAATCATAAAATAAATAATTTAGTCATTATTAGATAAAATATGTGCTATACCATCCTTATTAATGAGTAGATTTGATTTATTTTAATCACCACCAAACACTCTTGATAATCAGAGTTGTAGAAACTTCCAGGTTTTATTATTTTCACAACACAACGCAAAAACATTAATTTTACTAGCTTTAATGATCACAACACATTAAAGTGTTTTAGTTTGGATTTGTCAAAAACCAAAATGTTTACAAAATTAATCATTAAATATAGAATCAAATCCGCTTGTAATCGAACTCAAATCCGCTTAGAATCGAAATTAAAGTACATCCAGAAAGAATTGAGCCCACAACTACGAAACTTAGCAGTAGTATAGTATTAGACTATATAAACAAATGATCAAATTGGAACGAAGAAACCGTTTTTATTTTAAGAGTAGCAGTACAAAAAATGAGTAAAAAAAAAAAAGGGGGGGGGGAAAGACTAGCAGTGCAAAATCAGTAGGTAGTAAAGTCAAACTTTGCAGGTATAAAAGTTGATACTCGTTTGGGTATATGGAGTGTATTAAGTTGCCAATGTCCCTCTGCGGTAGAATGGGCCACAAATTGAGCAATTTGTCAGCGAGTCGGGACGTAGCTCTACACGGCTGAATTTGTCTGCCCAGAATGCCCCAAACATGTTCGATAGGCGACAGATCTGGAGACCTAGTAGGCTAGTAGAGACATTATCACGTCGAATACATTGTTGGAAAAGTCGTGCTGTATGTGGCCGAACGTTGTCCTGGAAAACAGAACCTGGACACGATCGGCTGCAAAATGTCGTCAATGTACCTTCAGACAGTCAGAATACCTCGCAGCACGACTAATGGTGAACGGCTGTCCCAGCTGATCGCTTCCCAGACTTTCTTTCTTTTCGCCATCGACGGAACAGCTGGCCCACGCATATTCACAAAGCCTACAGACTATTTCTCTACGGGCTGCTCTCATTGGAGAAAACATCTGCTTGGCGGTTATATTTGGAATAGCGAGTTATCGCCCTGTAGGCGTGGTAATTAACGCAAAACAAACGTTATTTCATTCGATATTTTTTTAGTTTATGAACGAAAGCTTAGAGGAATTGTATGGAATACATTTTAACTAACCTACTGATCTTATTAATAGTTTATTTGTATTTTAATTTAAACTTTTAAAAGTACGTAATTGTTTTACAAGAAAAAGGTGTTTACATGGAGATAGCATATGCACTTTTTCGTCATTTCTGTTGTGTAAATTTCCATAGCGCATTAATTTATACAATAAGGAATATTAAAAATTAACCAACAGGAAAAACTTCAGTAAACATTTAAGGGTCTCGGATACTATTTTTTACCTAAATTATGAGTAAGTATAACTAAAATTATATTTTATTCCATTATGCGCTATTTTCTATTGAAATGCTTTCGGAATCTTGGATAGTATTCTTGCTACTGGTACCTACTACAAAGAATACAAACCAGTAAATAAAAATAAGAAAAATTAAAATTAACAAAAATAGAAAAATTAAAGGCGTTTAATTTTTAACACCACACCCGAAGGCGAAAAGACAAAGTCATTCAATAAAGTTAAAATAAAAGTAAATTCGTGCAAAGAAGAGTTTATGAAAACTACGTGCGGGAATAGACCCGGCAATCTAGAAGCCTGATATTTCTTCCCGCGCTCGTTACCGCTGAGCTGCGGTTTCTCCAATGGATTATGCCCACTTTTTGGTACACGACACTCAAATACAAATTGTAAAGGCGATGAACCAAAAGTCGCCAGCCAAGCACTAGATTCTGTAACCCTACGTTTTCTGTTTTAACCAATCGGAGCAAACAGCAGCAGAAACGGTCTGTAGGCTTTGTGAATAAGCCTGGCCCACTGGGTTAGGTGCTTTTCGGCCTGTTGGATCCCGTCGATGGAAATAAAAATAAATACATGAATAAACATATATAAAGAGGTTAGTACTGTGTCCTACGGGGATTGGCCACGGAACGAGGAACATTGAAATAAGAACCAGAACATGAAAAGGTCATGGTGGGGACTGCTGAGACTAACCGGAACCACTTTCACTATTATCGTACATGTTAGGCATACAGTTATATTAAGGATGTGCTATAATAATCAGGTACAGATGTAAAGATGAGCAAATACATTACAAATTGTGGAATACATTAAATGAGTTCTGGAATAATCATAATATTAAATATAAAAACAGCAAAAACAAAAAACAAAACAACAACAAGAAAAGGAAAAAAAAAAAAAACTCAAGATATTAATTAAATTAATATATCTACAGAGCGGGCTGCTGACGGCACGGTGTCCAAGGAAAGAAGTCACTCCAGGTTGTCAGCATTGCTTTTAGCAATGGTAGTGCAGTCTCTAATGCGGCTGAGCGCATATTTAGTCTTAATTGTGTTCTTGACGCATGCCGGCATGTTGATTGCAGTTGGTCTTTTTAAATGTGAATTCCCTGTGTGCGAGCAGTCAAACAGATAGTGATCTGGGTCACCAGTACTGCCACAAATACATTGGACACTGTCTCTTAGGCGAAATCTGTGAAGATAGGACATATATGGGCCATGCCCTGTAAGATACTGTGTGAGGTGCGAAGAGCTGCTATTTAAATTGTGGTTAACTTTTGGTTGGAAATCATACAGTCTTCTGTCTCTGGTGCTTGTCCCCAGTAGTTTTGCCGCTTTCCAGACTGGCACATCCTGTATTCTGCCCGCGTGTGATTGATAATAAATCGTACATTGCATCGCTCACCTCTCTATTTCTAGACACGTATGCCGCAGTCATCAGCATTGAGAGAAAAGCGCGAATCATCGCTGAAGATCTCATTTTTCCAATCGGACACTCTCCCTCTTGAGCGACAGTGACACCGTGCAAGACGACACTTTTTATGTTGAAGTGTCAGTTGCACGATATCTGAGCCCATCGTTACCTACTTTTGCGAACTGTGCCCCTGGATATCCCGTGATCCCTGCGAGTAGGCAATGGCGGTAATGACAGCGTAATTGTTAGTGCGGACGTGGCAGCTCTTCTAATTACAGGATTAGTTCGCGCAACTAGTGGCTCGGGACCTCCCTGAGCGACTACGGCGGCTGGCTGTACGTTCGCTGAGCCACTTGTTCCAGTAACGAATAACGACCACATTGTTTCTACCAATATGCAGACCGATCCGCCTGTTCGACCAACTGGCCTCTTTTAGCCTTATGATGCGACACTTATCAAAGTCTAACAACTGTTTGTAACTCCGTAGAGTACGTTTTAAAGGCATCTTTCGTTACAATGCCGTGTATCCAAGCCGTTAGCGCGGATGTAAATGCTCCTCACTCGCCTCACCTGTCCTTTAACTTTCTACCAGCAGCACATTTCAGACTCGCGTTGTATCGCTCCACAGTGCTGATTAGCCCTGCAAGTTTAATCATTCGTACAGCTCGGCAAACCACATTTGCATTCAGCGTTTCGTAATTATGGCTCAATTTTTTCTGGGTGCATATGTTTTTTTTTTTTTTTTTTTTTTTTTTGCAACAGAGTGCACTTACATTTAAAAAACTATAACAGAAAAATGTAACATTCAAAACCTATGTTCAATATATCGTAGAATTCACGGTGAACTGCCATTTTCAAGTTCAGCGAATTTAATCAGTCACTGGTGGGTCACGTGAGCGAGGAATAAAGTGATATTGAAAAATGACTGCTACATTACGAATTGTTGCGGTTCTTGTCGACTATAAAAGATGACAGGGAAACGAAAACAATGCTTTCCTTTTTTACAGTGAAGAAATGGGGAAGTAAGAGTGATTAGTTTGTTAACTGACAATTCAGGGTTTTACTGGGGCGATATTGTGAATGACTTAATAGCTCACCTCTTTGGTGACATCTGACAGAAGTCGGGGATTTGGGAGGAGTTCTCCAGTGACGGGATCCTTTCGCGGTCGGCCTCCGACTCCTTTGCGAATAATACTGGCCAGTTCTGTGCCCTAAATATAAAATATATAATTCTAAATTTCAAATATAAATAAAAGATTATATCTCAACAAGCATTCTCAAAGTACTTGAAATAATTACTGGATTTTTTTTTTTTTTTTTTTGTCTAGAAATGGGTCGTTACAAATTCACAGGTATCAGTTCTTTGATCCATAAGAAGTTGAGTAATAGTGAAAGCTTTATTTTATACAACTAGCTGCTGGAAAGTTTTCTAGAAGTTTTTTTTAACAAATTCAAAACATACAACTCGTAGCGTATGGGTTATGGGGGTTATTCCTTTCAAGTTTATTTCAGCTTATTTCAAGCTTATTTCAGCCAAATCTGACACGCTGTTTTACATGATAACCAGTTTATCTAACAGTATCATTTTATGCCTTATTTTACTGCAAAGCATATTATTTTAGAAAAAAAGATGTGGCTGGATTCATTTATTTACTATTAAGGTTAAGTAATTTAACAGCGATTACTTTATAAATTACGAAATTAACATTAATTAAAATGATTAGTAAATTAAATATATCAAGAAAATATTAATTTCAGAATTTACAATCGTACTCTTAGGAATAAGATATATTTCTGTACGCCACCAGCATCCCATTACACGTTTTTAAAGAATGTTTCACACTTCTGAAACTCATTCTGCAACGAATAGAATACTCATGAGCAAATCCAAAATTTTATTTAACTTTAAAAGCAATAATGCATATGGTTATCTTATTTTTCTTTTGAAAGCTTAGTTACTAAACACTTTTTAACATAACTGTCGCCAATTTCATAAATCCATCATTCACAGTAATTGTCACCACGAAGATGCCACGCAATGAAACTACGAGAAACGATTTGAGTTTTTTTTTTTAAACGTGATTTACCAATGAATTCTTTGTTTTTCTCTGAAATCAATACTCTGATCAGCAAGGCAGGGTTTTGAAGTACAAGATTATTTCTTCGGGGGATCCAAAGTGTTTGAAAAACCTGTCAATGAGTTTCACTGAGTAAAGCAATAGATACAACCTCCAAAACAGAATTTGCCAACCATTTTATCCTCATGAAACTTTTGTAATGATACTGATGTCTCCAGGAAAACTACATAAAAATAATTATATATCATTAGTAGTATATTTCGCTTTCTTTTTAAAGTTAATATGGCATGCATTTTTATTATACGAAGTTTCGGCCTGTCTATGCATACAGTCTTAAGACAGGACAGCTAACTTTATGAAATTTCAGTCTTATATCTCTCTATGCATATTGCAGTTTTAAATAAGTGTGTAAAATAGTAATTCTATGAGTATGTCAAATTGATTTTCAGCATTTGCATTCCTTTCCCCCTCATAGTTGAAATGTTTCCGAAATTAGGCTTCTATCACAATAATGGCAAATGGCCTGTATGGAACCGCATTTTCTCTTCTCTTCTGTAAAGTAATTTATCCTAAAGAGAAGATAAAAACAAGCATGTTGTTTAACATCTATCACACGCATGCGGATATAAAAAGGAAAAGGATTAAGAAAGGTGCAACCACACTCCACACGTGCAATAAGTAGAAAAGATAGAAAAGATACAAAAGCAGCATGCGAATTGCATAAAAACTGGAAGATAACACAGATTAAAAATAAAATGAATTTTTCAAATAAGAGAAAGGAAAGATTACATATTACTAAACTCATAATGCAGTAACAGTCAGTACTGAAGAAATCATGTTCTAGGCCATGTTGTCACATCCGCTGAATTGCTTCATTGGATGCATCAGAATTTTGCACTTGCTACATATTGGCGTACAATAACCAATACAAGATAAACATTTTTTTAGTTTTTTTTAGTTTCTTTATTACATAAGATAAATTTACACTACTACGACTTATTTCACATAAATGAAATTCTTTAGAGATTTAAAAACTTCATAAATATTACTTGGAAATATCTGTGCTTGTTTTGATTTCTTGAAATAAAAATATAAAGTAAATTATTTCTTGCTTCTGAAGCAAAATTTTAGTGTATAAAGTTTGAAATTCAAATCCAACGTCTTTAATGGTAGGGAAATGTAGTGGATCATGGAGAAAGCAGGTAAACGAAAGCAAATAATTTTTCACAGTTCTCTTGAAATCTAGCCAGAATGGTTAATATGTTCTTACATATTTTTTACATTTAATGCCTGTAAGAGTTTTATGCATAATATTTATTGGCATATTTTTCCTTTTCCACCCTAATTTAACTATTTGAAAATGAGGAGGGGAAAATTAAGCAATGTGTACTATTTCTGAAAATACGCCTTAAATGAAGAACACAGCATACATAAATAGAATTCTGTATTCTTCATTTCAAAGAGGTAATCATATTAATTTCAATAATAATCTTTTAATTTTCCTTATGTACTTTTCCAAAGTATGCAGATTTTTTATGTTAGTAACATAAATCAGAAGTTTCTAAACTGTATGCAGAAAACGACATGCCAGAGGGAAAAATACGCGTATATAACAGTATAAAACAGAAATATGTTAATTACACTCATGTCCATAAATTAAGGATGATTCGGAGTCACGCGGAAATCGAAGTCTAAAATAAATATATCACCTGTAAAATCACTACACACATCTTCAAGAATCATATACAAATTTCAGGAAATAACCAGATGACACCGATGGTACGTCACAATGACGAGAGTGTAAGAGAGTGATATATAAGGAATACAGGCAAAAAAGCAAAATTGTTCGCAGGCGCTTTATAAGCATTTCAATGCAATAACCGAATAGTTATGACACAAAGGACGCATTTGGATGATTTTTTACGTGGTAGAATTATCGGCCGTCTGGAATGTGGGCGTACCCAACTGGAAGTATCAGACAAACTTGGAACTGCCCAGAGTGTCATCTCCAGGCTTTGGCAACGATTCCAAGATGATGGTAATGTGAGTAGACGTTACAGCACAGGTCACCCCAGAGTTACAACGCGAATGAGAACCGGTATTTGGCAGTTACTGCCAAAAGAAACAGGCGGAGCACAGCCTCAGACCTGTCTCGTCAGCTCTCTTCAGCCACTGGTACGACAATTTCAAGGCAGACCGTATACAGACGCTTAGGGCAGATTGGTCTATATGCTCGTAGACCTGTCAGATGCATTCCACTTACTGCAACTCACTGTCGCCTGCGTTTAGCCTGGAGAAAGAGCATGCATTGTGGACACCGCAACAGTGGGCTTGTGTGATGTTTTCCGACGAGTCCAGGTTTAGCTTGCAGTCTGATTCTCGCCGGACTTTCACATGGAGAGCTCCAGGTACCCGTTACCACCAAGAAAACATCATAGAACGACACCGTTACGGTAGTGCAGGAGTGCACGTTTGGGGTGGAATTATTCTGGGTTCCAGAACTGACCTGCATGTTCAAATTGGAATCATGACAAGCCAAATCTATCGGGACGTCATTCTGGAACAACATGTACGTTTGTTTCGGGGCGCCATGGGCTCACAAATTTGTGTTTATGGATGACAACGCCCATCCTCACCGTGCAAACATCGTAAGCGAATGCCTTCAATCAGAGGATATCACCCGTATGGACTGGCCAGCATTCTCACCGGACTTGAATCCAGTAGAGCACGTGTTTGACATGCTTGACCGACGAGTTGCAGCCCGTCAACCTCCTCCTACATGTCTACCGGAACTTCGGAGAGCATTGCTTTTTGAGTGGTGTAATATCCCCCAAGATCATATCGATAATTTGATACTCAGCATGCTTAGGCGTTTAGTTTATACAGTCTCAGCATGCAGACTGTATTGCATCGTCTGGGAGACATACAATGTATTAACAATCATACCAACCATATAATATTGGTTTTTTGTAAATAGATTTTTTTTTTGTAATTTGCTCCAGGGAGAAAAAAATCGCTATTTTTTTTAATAATATCAAACATATAGCATCATTTTTTGCTCTTTACCTTTTGTTTAATAAATAAGCTTTACAAATAAGTCAAATTTGTTTTGCTTCTAACTCTTCCTTTGCCTGATTTTGCATTATCCTTAATTTATTGGACATGAATGTAAATATGGTATACTGATATGGCTAAATAAACCTTGAATAGCTGGTCATACACCATTACGCTCCAAATTATGAAACAAAGTAGTTTCTCAGACTACAACAATTATGTTTCCGTAACCTCATTTTAGTACAAATGTACAAAATTTAAATCTGTACATACGTCTTCTATACACATGTGTATTTAAATCCGCACTTATGTGACTTAAAACCACTTTCACCCGTTGAAAAGAAATAGAGAAAACATTAAGTGAACTTTTATTGAAGGGTACACTGATTTAAGGATTTTTTTTATTAATTTAAAAAATTGAACTATGTTAGATAAAAATTTTAAGATTTTAGTTTTCTGCAAATAGGAACATGGGACCCAAACGTTTTCATTCATGCTTTTTTTTTAATAAAATGTACTGGATTCGTAAGTTTTCGTGCACAGCTTTTAAGAAACATTTGTATATGGTCACCAAAACTGTAATTAATGATATCTCGAATAGTTTTGTCTATGTAAAAACGCTGTTTTCATATTAAAGTAGTTACAGAAAACAAATTTTTCATTGACATTCTTTGTCCCTTATATGGTCAGTGTAAAAAACTTTCGTATACGTTTACTAAAATGTGCTACGTGACCAGAATTGTAGTAATCTGAAGGTCTACCTTACTAGTCATATTTATTTCTGAAGCTAAGAGGTGTTAAGTGTCTGCGACGAATTGTTCAAGAGATATTCGGTCATGCAATCATTTTGTAATGCCGTGTATACTATTAGTATCATAATCGAATACTGAACAATAGAAAAAAAAGTATCTTAAACACTGATGGACTTTAAATAAAAAATGAAAGTAGCATTTGATGCACAGAAAAGAAAAATAGAAAGAAGAGAGGACGTGCGAAAAGGTGAACAGGAGTTACCGGTGCTCCTTTGGACATCCTTTGTGGGGGGCGAATGCGAACAATCTAAAACAATGAATTAGATGCATGAGAAGTAATTCGGATACATCTTTGTTACCAGATCTTTGCTTATAAAATAAGTATTTATCATTCTGCCAGACTGAGTAGTTTAACTATTGAAGATTAATTTTAATTATAAAATACAATAACAACTTAAACACTGCGTTCAATATCAAAAGTGATGAAAATTCAGAATAACATTTTTAATACATATGCAGGAAAAATTACTCCATATATGAAATGAAATCGATTTGTATTATAAAAATTACATTTATTGGAAATATGAAAAAGCAAAATATTTCCATTTCCAGAGGCGTTGTGAAAAGGCTGCGAAACACAATATTGCTTTATTTGTTTCGTTTCGTTTTTAAAAATAATTAGATAGCCCGCAAATGTTTGTCATGCTTAATTTTGCTAATTTTAAGCTTATTAATTCATATATATTGAAGTACATTTGCAAGAGCACGCAATTCACTTCCAATTCAAGTGAGACAAAGTAATGAAATTAATTTCTTTGGGTTCTAAAATAGCTTTCTAATTTTATAGTTTATACAAAATTTATATATACAAATTTATAATTTTTATATAAAATTATATTATAAAAATTTTAATTATAATTTTACAAAATTATATTATACAAATTTATAATTATAGTTATACAAATTTTATAATTTATAGTTTTATACAAAATTTATATTATACAAAAATTTATAATTTATAGTTTTATACAAAATTTATATTTATAGTTTTTGCATTACTTAAATCAACGAAAATTACGACTTCATAAAGCTTGATTTTACGTAGCCTAGAGAGAAGAGTGAATCTGCCTGATAAGTGGAATTTTAAATATCAGGAACTTTGCTAGCTGGATTTCTATCGAATTCATATTTCTATCTGAACATCAGGCATTAAATAAAATTTATTTTTTCCGTCATATTAAATATAAAAAATTTTCCAACTTAGAACTTTTACGAAATATATTATAATAACATAAGATTAAGCACAGAAGAAGATATGCAAAATCTTCATCTTGAGCGTGAAAGGGATGCTTCAACTTAACAGCAACAAACTTTCTCTAGGCCGATTAAATTTATGATATAAATTTTCCTAAATTCTTAATTTTCAATGGCGGCTGCTTTTACAGTTCTCATCGTCGAAATCAGGGATGTCCAACCCGTTGCCTATGGGTCTCATATGACCTGCCCTGTAAAATTAGAGGCTCGTAGCGGAATTTACGAAATTTGTGAAATACAGAACAAAAACCTCCGAGTGCTTTTGCATCAACTCAAGTCTTCGAATCTTTTTTTTTTTTTTTTTTCCCGAAAATGAAACCCACGAAGTTCATATAACATAATCACAGGCTTCCTAAACTGACGAAAACCTTCCACATCAATTTCGATGCGCAAACACAAGTAAAAGAAAAAGAAATATCGCACTGATTACGAAAAATACAGTATTATTCGATTACTTTATTAATTATTGTTTGTATAATTATTTATGCGTAATCATAAAGGTTTAACTATTCGGTTATTAATTCATGAATAATAATAAAAACTATGATAATAATAATATGCTCTATTTTTAAATTTTCATCTAAGAAAATTTTATACATATATGTAATTATTTAATATAAATTTAGAATTTAAGATGTAAGAATTAGTTTTTTTAATTATATATATATACATAATAGTAAGTAGAAACATTGCAGCGATGACCAAATAGGTCTTACGTCTCATATATTATTGTTAGAAGGTATGCGCCCTGAATTGTGATGATTTAAAACATTAGAGCTCTCATGGTTACAGTTACACTGAAAAGATTTCGAAATTTTCGAATGGCAATACGCATTTTTTTGGTCCGCAAACCGATCAGCTCATTGAAAAACCGTAAATGGTTTTGGAACGATACACGTATGAAGAAAATTGACGAAGTAAAACGTTTGTAAAGAAGAGAGCATTGTAAAGCGCCAATGACAACACAAGAGAGAACTTTTATTGGAACTCAACGTGCCCGCCATCGCAGACAATAACGCATTGTATGCTGGGGATTGTTGATAACAATGACGAACATACAAGTAATATCGTAGGAGAAATCTGTATAACTTCATGTTTTATGGCATCTTTGAATTCTGACATATCTTGTGTATTTGATGTGCATATATTACGGTGAAACACCGAAATTTGGAGAATGTCGACTTTCACCGGTGAATGTCAACATTCACCTAGTCGCTTGGTGTATGTCTAAAACATTTTCCAAATACTCTTACTTCTGACTTACACCGGTAAATGTCGACATTCACCATGTACTAATGGTGAATGTTGAACACATAACAATATTATATTTTCTTCTCCGTAATTCAGTCGCGAGAAAACGCACTTCAAACTTAAAATAAGAACTTAAGAACATAAGAACTTAAAACGCACAGTACATTCAAAATGAGAAAGGAAAATAATAGAAGCTTAAAACTTACTAAATTATGTGATTCAAATCTTATTTATTGCAACAATTTAAACTATTATGACACTTTGAATTGCACAAGAGGCCCTTGCTTTTACCACTGCATTTATTTGTGGAACACTTCCTTTTGCAATGACAGCGTATGACAGCGTGAAACTTTTGCAATGACACTCCTCTCTTTTCGACCTGCACCAGAGCATATCTGTGATTGTCGATGTACATCGGTGAGGGTCCGAATGTAGAAGAATGTAATGAAATATTCGATCTTTCACGGACGTATTTGGTGAATGTTGACATTCTCCGGTGAAAGTCGACATTCTCCAATTTCGGTCTTTCACGGTAACATATACCTCAGATTTTAGATAACCCTAGAATCAGAAATCCATCGGGGATCGGGGTATCGCGGTGGCCCACAAAACTAGAAAGTTATGGAAGATGACTCTATATTGAAAGACTGCACAAGTTGAAAACTTGTAATTCCAACAAAAGTTTTTTTTTTCTTTTTTCTCTCTTGTGTAATACAAAATGCTATCCGCCGAAATAAAATGCATTTCGAAAGCGGCCCAGAGAGACTTTCGTGTTGGACAAGTCTGGTCTAAATGTTGTACGTATGTTTTCAGTCCACGTGCAGTGTCAGGTAGAAAGTATATTGCTTTATTTCATCTTTTCTTTTCAATAGCAGTCAATCTAAAATTTTGATTTCGAGAAAACGCAATTATATATTTAAAGATGCTTGCCTAATTAACGTAACGAGGCCATCTTCTCAATTTTCTAGTTTTTCTCATCCGTAACGGGTTCAAGCAGACATACGGACAGAAAGTTTCTTTTGTGTAAAATGATTTTTCGACTTTGATATCAAATGAGATGAAATAATTCAACAGAATTAAAATTATTTATAATATTTTGTTCTGAGAGTTCTAAAATTAATTCATTCACACAAGCAAATTGTCTTGCATACGTTCTATAAAAGTCTCTAATTATATGATTGGCTTAGATAATACCACGTAATTTATGTCTAAGCGCGTAGTTATTAAATATTTTTCAGAAGTTTCGCAAATGTAAGTTTCTGAAAATGAACTCTTACTGAACTATCAAATTTAGCCAACGACAAAAAGGTCATGGAACTGTTTTGAACTTGTCGCGTTTATGATTTATGGATTGCTATTGCTTAAGGTGAATGGGTATCATTCTGTAACTTAATAATGATGTATGTTGAAAATTACTCACCGGTTCATGAATTTGCTGTCGCTCCTCTTCATCCTTTTTCTTCTTTTCTTCCATTTCTTTTTCTAAATTTAAACAAATTCAATTTAACAGAAGTTACAGAATGCAATATAACAGATGTCAAAGAAATTTTCCTCACGTGTAGTATCAGTTTCGGCACCTATGTGACCGATCCATGAAGAATATCGCATAGCAGATGCATATGAAACCCATCTATTGCAGAAAAACTATCTTTTGAAGTTTTGAAAATTACCGAGACACTTTGTAACTATAATCAAGAAAATATGTCTTTTTCATGGGTCTTTTTACCTTTTGGGACTTGATTTGAAATAGGAAAATCCTTCAACAGTTAGAATATTAAATTAAATGAAGGAGCATTTCAAATATAGGACAAAGGTTTTTTTTTTTTCTCGTTAATATTACAGAGGATAGTTACAGTTATCAGAATTTATAACTTACAGGTATTTTGATCTGATCTCATTTTGTTCCATTTATTTTCTCGGATCCCGAACCTAGAAAGTGCAGAAGAATTTACTGCTTTGGAAATAAGACATAGATATTTTTCTATTCATCCTGTTTTTGATCCACGAGTATATTCGATTGATCTTAATACGATTGGATCTTAATCTTTATTTCAGTGAACTTTTTTTTTGAAACTTACGCCAGTTTTGACAACTGTAGGTAATCAAATAATCTCTGAACATATTTCTACTTATGTATTTGAAAGTACAGGAAATTCTTCCAAAGCGTCATTCTCAATTCGTTCTGCTAATCTGATTTCATGTTCTAGTGTGAAATGAAAAATATAAAATTAAAAAAAAGCGGAAAAAGAGAACAGTTTAAAAATTACAAAAATAAAGACTTAAAAGTAGCAAAACTGAAAAATGCAATTAAATAAATAAATAAAAATTATTAAACACAATTAATTTTTTTGTTGGCATCATATTTAAAGATGCTGTGAAAATGAACATGCTATGAAATGAACATAATATATTTATACTAAGCACAACTTGGTAGAAATTCTTTCTGTAATTAGAAATGGACAGAACATACTTAACCTTATTTAAGCTATTATTAATAATATTCATATCATCTACAACAGAATAACTATTATATTCCTTTATGTATAATAAGTTTGAGCAATAGGGAAGCAATCTGAGTAACTTAAAGCAATTCATAAAATCTGGCGATACAAATACTCTATTTAATTCATGATTCTATGATTTTACAGCCATTGTAATGAAAAAGAGAAGCATTTATAGCTTTTGCGAAAGGAAATATAATTTTTATTTACCTATTTACATCTTACATTTGATGAATGCATTGAAATTAAGTGTTAAATCTGAACTTCTGTTTATTTTTTTAATACTTTGAGAAGAAAATAAACATAGATATATTGCTCTGAGCGTGAAATGGAAAGTCAATATGCTAATTTAATACTATTTCGTAATAATAAAAATCAGTCACCTAATGTATTCTTATATTCCATTTTCGCTTCTTTACTCCTTTTTTTCGGATGACCCGTCAGTGACCACCCCTACGAAATTCAAATGAAAAAATTAATTAAAGCTCATTAAGTATATTTATGCAATCTATCTAAACAATTTCACCTAATAATAATCTTTTTTTTTTTTTTTTTTAATTACTGTTGCAAAAATGGGACATAAGCTTTCCAAAACAAACGCTAAAAGTCTTTTTGTTTCCTTGATTTTAAATTTATTTTTTTTTAGAATAAAGGAAGAAACTTCCGAATTGACTTAAATTAACACAAAAGATAAATATTAAAGTTCCTTTCTCATACAAGACACTTATTCGTAAAACTGAGTACTTATTTGTTTACTCTTGTAGCGTTGCGCGCCTCCAACTTGCACGCAACCAAGAGGTGACTGTGAAAACTGGATAAAAGACAGAGTCTTGTTAAGGGTTTAAGTCCCTTTTTATTCAACGTAATAAATTACAAGTGCGTGCTCTTGACGCTCACAAACTGCGCCAACTCGGCGGTCAAATAAAAATAATAACCTGAAAAGAAACTAAAGACAAGACTCTAACTACGAGGCTCTCTAAAAGTAACTAACTCACCGCGTTTTAAAATACCGCTGCTAATTCAGCAAACTTGAAGATCACTTGAACGATTAACACTACTTCCAGGCAAGCACACAGGCCGAAACGCGGGGTTCTTCAATTTCTGGCCAACTACCTCCGCGCTCGTGAAGTAAGAATAATATCACACCTCGAACTCGTTTCCTTCTATTTTAAATCAGAATACTTCCGCTGATAATTTGAATCCTTGCGCGTTCTACTAAAATTTACATACTCTGGCATTGGCAGTTCCAGGGGAAAGTAAGGCTTGACAGGAAAGATAGTTTAAACTTAAAATAAATGTTAGTTAAAATAAATATAAACCCTACATTTGCCACTGCCAGAATTTGGAAAACTTGGAAGCAGGTCCTACAAACGACCTGTTGTAAGTTTCTCTAATTCTGAACTAACTATCGAGAACCTCGTTTACACAAAAAAAATCTTATGTAACAAATTGTATACTAAAATTCTGTTGATAGTTATAACTCTCTCTTCTTACAGCAACTTTTCCTGGACTTCATCAATCAATCTTGGTCTTTCCTTCCAGCATCTGGAAGGAATAAGTATCAGTATCTTTCTAAATACATTATAATTTACACTTTCTTGACACAATAAATTTTTGTTTTTACACGATTCGTTTTTCTTAGTTATTGCTTACTTCACATTCATTCAATTTTTCAAGCATTAATTTAACTTTACCCTGGCTCTCCACCATGTGTGGTGTCAAACGGGAATATTCGTGTTTTAGTCTTACAACACTTCCCCTAACCACCATGATTTGTTAGAATTCAACGACCAAATAGACACACCTTACTCGACATTCTACAACTCGATGAGCTACTTTAATATTCTTAAAAATTCAAGTGTAGGTGGAGAACCCTACAAAACACATTCATTCTAACTTCCCCCTCATTCATCTTTAAACATGCAGGCTTTCGCTCTAAAGCATTACTTTATCTACAATTTAATACTTAAATTCGAATTCATTGCTTTTAAGCATTCACTTTTAGCATCTAAAATTTTATGCTTCTACACTAAATTCTACTTTTACATAAATTTCAAGCATTTACGTATATTTACAAAATTCTAATACATATGATTTTTACAATTTACCATTTATGGTAAATTGTATTCATTTTAATGAATAAGAGAAAAATAAATTTTTACTTTACTCATTCTTCGCCAAGCTGGCGGCACTGAAACTAAAATTCTTATTCATACAAGAATACGAAGTTATTTTTATCTTCGGCCAAATTTTGGCTTTAACATAACAGAATTAGTCTTTCGACCAACAGAAAATGCTTGTTCTTAGCTTTTATACTTAAAGAAAATAATACTTTTGCCTTAGCTAAATAAAGTAAAACAAAACTAAGTCTCAACCGAGACATATTGACTTTCGTCAAAACATAGAACTTCGTACTTATACATAACATTTCGGACTAAAAGAGAAAAAAAAAATTATAGAAGGTTTTAACTTATCTTTGAGTTTTCGATGCTTGAAACTCCGTCATTCTTTTGTGGCAATATTGTTCCCAAGTTATCGGTTTCATGGACGTCAATCTTCTCCTTACTGACCTCCGAGTGTCGTCCACATTAGTTTTTCTTTTGCGTCCTCTACATGCTGGCCTCTTGGCGGAGTAATCGTCTGGTTGTTGGCATTTCCGTTTTTCCATGGGACGGCTGGTCTTGACGTCCTCCGGTCTGGAGTCCTTCTTGAATTTCTTCTGTTCCTGATATTTTTGTTCCTCCTGTTGCCGTTTCAGTTTCCGGAACGGCGGCCTTGCTGGCACCTGACTCTGTGGCCGTGTGCGCGTTCTCCTTGATGTATAATTTCTCCTGCGATCCGTTGTAGGTGGTGTTTTGCTCTTTACCACGGTTTCTTTACGCGGTGCATCTGTATTCTTGTTTTTCTTACCACGCTGGAGTTTGAAAGTTATTTTTTCTTTTTGATACCGTCGTCCGGGTTGTAGAAGGGCTAGGTCTCTCTTCAGTTCTCTGCTTCTTGGGTGGTGGAATAGTTGTTGTTATTTCTGGACCTTCTACTTCGTTTAGACTTGAGTCCTGCAAGAAACTTTTAAGGATTTCAAAATCATTTGGATTATAGTATTTTTTTCACCTGGTCGGGACTTGCTTTACAGATTTCCCCTCTCTCGTTCTTAAGATATAATACTACTCCTTTGATTTCCTGAATTACATAGGGACCTTCAAATTTTGGAGCTAGCTTTGCCGTAAAATTGTCTGGGGCGCTTGATAAAGAAAATTTCCGCTTCAATACTTTATCCCCAACTTTAAAATCTGCTTCACGGCGTTTTCTATCATAATATACTTTCTGCCTATTTCTTGCCGTATCCGAGGTTTTAAGCGCCTGATCAATCAACTTTTGCACATCTTGTTGTTTAAACTCCTGCTCTCTTTGTTGCACAAAGAATAATTTATCTAAAGGCGTAATTAACTTTCTGCCTAAAAATAATTCTGCTGGAGTTTTTCCCGTAGTATCATGATGTGCCGTTCTTAAAGCATAAGCTAATTCATTTATGTAGCCATCCCAGCGCTTGTGATGTGTGCTCACGTAACTGCGAATTATTTTTACTATGTTTTTATTAACTCTTTCTGCTATGTTAGCCTGTGGTCTATACGGAACCATTTTGATATGGCGTATGCCAAGTCCATTGCATATGTTTTCAAATATTTGACTAATGAATTGTTTTCCGTTATCGCTAATGACTTTTATCGGTGCACCGTATTTTAAAATGTATCTGTGTAAGAATGCATCTGCGACTGACTGTTTTGGCTGACGCGCGTTTAAGTGGAACAATTTCTATCCATTTTGAAAAATGATCTACTATTACTAAAAGAAAACGATTTTTATTTAACTCGCTCTGGGGGAAGGGACCAAGGAGATCTATGCCTAAAATTTCATTCGGAAATGTAGCGCGAATGCTATTTAAGTACCCGGCCGGGCTGTAATTAATATCATTTATTAACTGACATTGATTGCAGGACCTGACATACGCCGTTACTATTTTGTATAATTGCGGGAAATATACCGCCTCGCGTACCCTTTTTATAGTCTTTCTGACCCCGAGGTGGCCCGCTGAATTTTCTTCGTGCAACTCCTTCAAAATGCTTAATCGAAGCGAGGCTGGGATGACTGGCTTATACTCAAGATTTTCGTTTGTTGTTTTCGTATAGAATAATAAATTATCTATTATTTCATAGTTTTTTGCTCTATTTCTTATCGCATCGATATCTGTATGCTCAAAGCTTTCGGGGTCTTTCAAATAAGCATAGATATTTCCAAATTCAGGATCAGCTTTCAGTTCAGTAATAACCGTATCTCTAGAATCTAAAATTTTTGAAGTCAACACAGCGCATTTAAGTTCATTTCCTTCATCGTCCAGTTTTATACGAGAAAGTGCGTCAGCTACATTGTTTTCCTTACCCGGTTTATATTTTATTGTGATATTATATTCTTGGAGTTTTAAAGCCCATCTTATTAACCTGGGCGTTAGGTTTTTCCCGAGTAAAGTCTACCAACAGCCGCATGATCCGAAAAGACTGTTACTGGCGATTTGCCGAAATAAACTCGAAATTTGTGTACAGCCATTAATACGGCTAATGTTTCTCTTTCTGTAGCTGTATAATTCCTTTGTGTCTGATTCAACGTTTTACTAAAAAATGCCAGAGGATGGTTATTTTGCATAAGAACCGCACCCACCGCATAGTCTGACGCATCTGCTGCAATTTCCAGGTTTTCGTCCCCCTCCGGGAATTTTTAAAACAGGGGCATTAATGAGCGCTTCTTTTAATCTTTCAAATGCTGTGTTAGCTTTCCGCTGTCCACGTAAATTTACCCTTTTTCTTTTGATTACTAAGAGTGGTTCAACAATATTAGCGAAATCTTTTATGAAAGATCGATAGTAAGAACATAACCCAAGGAAAGAAGAAAGTTTCTTGGCGGTGTTGGGCGGTGGGAAATTCTTGATAGCTTTTATTTTTGAATCTTGCGTTTCTATACCCTTTTGCGAAATTTTATAACCGAGATATTTAAGTTCTTTAGTTGCGAACTTGCATTTTGAGGCGTTAATTGTAAGACCGGCCTCTTTTAATAATTTAAAAACTTGTTCTAGATCATTAATGTGTTGTTCCAACGTACTACTCGTTATAATTATATCATCTAGATAAATTAAAGTTGATTTTCCTAGGACAGGCTTTAGAACAATGTCCATAGCTCTCTGGAATGTTGATGGGGCCCCACACAACCCAAAGGGCATGCGTAAAAATGCATAAGTGCCCGATTTTGTTATAAACGCGGTTTTATGTATGTCTTCGGGTCTCATAGCTATTTGATAGTAGCCAGACGTTAAGTCCAAAGTAGACATGTATCTTGTCGATTTGATCTGTCTAATGATCTCGTCTATAACCGGCAAAGGGTAAACTGGAAATTTAGTAATACTA